CGCAGAGCCACACCCTCCCCCGCAGCGTGAGGCCCTGGCAGGAGGCGTACGTGACCGCGTGGCAAAGCCGCGTGTGCCGCAGCAGCTCCGCGGGCGTGAAGCTCTGCCCGTCGTCCAGCGAGATCCGCTCCCCCACCTCGCTCACCGTCGCGAAGCAGCCCTTGGCCACCCTGCCGCCCGCGCCCACGAGCCTCAGCCCGGGCCACACGCGCATCGTCTGCGGCTGGTTGGTGCCCGCCTGCCCCTGCGCCCGGTGCTCCAGCAGCAGCGCACCCTCCAGCGCGAGCCGCCGGTTCTCTCGCTCGTTGATGGCCATCCTGTGGGCGTGGGAGATGACCAGGCAGGTGTCGGGGTGGCCCCGCCGCGGGAACAGCTCCCGCGCCGCCTGCACGGCCTCCCGCAGCGGCGGCTGCTCCGGCTCGTCCACCCGCAGCCACTGCAGGAAGCGGAAGATCGTCTCGTCGCTGCGCTGGTTCTCCGTGAGCTCGTGCACGCAGCCTCCCGCCAGGTCGTGCAGCAGCTGCGAGTCCTTCAGCGAGCGCAGCACCGGCGCGCCCCCGAAGGCGTCCTGCACGGCGGGCAGCTGCCGGAAGTCGCCCAGCAGCAGGAAGCGCACCCGGCGGTTCGTGGAGAGCTCCGCGATGTCGGCCCACAACCCCACGTCGAGCTGCGTGACCTCCTCCACCACGAGCCAGTCCAGCGCGCAGCGGCCCGCGCGGATGGTGCGCCGTACCCAGAGGTCCGCCGTCTGCGCGCCCAGGCCCAGGTTCTGCACGCTGCAGTGCGTCTTCGAGATCAGCGTCACCTCCTCGCCCTGCGCCGAGAGCTGCGTCACGATCCGCCGCGCCAGGTGCGTCTTCCCCGTGCCCGGCATGCCCGAGAGCAGCAGGCTGCCCCCGTTGAGGCAGTGTGCCACGGGGTCCTCCACGTGCCTCCAGGGCCCCTGCGGCGGCGGCGGATCCGTCTCCAGCCGCGGCTCTCGGTAGTCTCCTTCCAGTCGCTTCACCTCCTCGAAGCGGTACTTCGGCGTGCCGTCCCGGTGCCGGTGCCGCGTGAGCGCCTCCACGGCGGGCAGGAACTTTTTCGGCAGGCCCTGACACACGAGGCAGTCGGTCTTCAGCGCCACGAGGTAGCGGGGCGGCACCTCCCGCAGCGCGCGGTTGATCCTCGCCATCGCCACGTACTCGGAGGCCATCACGAAGTCGTGCGCCGGGCGCGTGGAGCGGTTCGTGAAGAGCTCCGTGGCGTAGACGTGGTCGTAGTGGCAGGCGCCCGCGGCGTCGAAGAAGACCTGCAGGAACTGGGAGCCCCAGGCGTCCGCCTCGTGGCTGCTCGTCCTCATGGAGTAGAAGACGTCCTTGGAGCGCGCCCACAGCCCGATGAGCGCGTTCACGCTGAGCTTCGCGAAGTGCTCCTCGGACTCGGGCCAGGCCCCCTCCATGACCTCCAGCGCCCGTGCCAGGCAGTCGGGCGCCACGTGGGCCGTGGCCTGCAGGGACCACTCGCAGTCCGCCCATCTCGCAAGGCCCGCGTCCAGCATGTAGGCCACCGCGGGCTTCCCGTACCAGCCCGGGCCGACGTAGGGCAGCCGCGCCAAAAAGCCCTCGCGCTTGTCCTCCCGCTTCCGCACGAAGGTGAGGTCCGCCAGCTGCCCCTCCTCCGCCGGCCGGATGCTGTCCAGGGGGCAGAAGACGGGCAGCGGGAAGGGGGCGTTGGCCAGGGCGTTCTTCCGGCACCGCACCACGTCCACGCCCTGGCACACCTTCTCGGGGTTGCACTTCGACAGGCCGCACACGAGCGGCGGCAGCCGGGGGGAGCAGGCGTAGCTCTCGAAGACGTGGCGGCAGAAGCGGCTCTCCAGGCTCGTGGCGTGGGAGCACTCCAGGAACGTCTTGGCGCGGTGGCACTCCAGGCACAGGGCCTGCAGGTGCTGCCGCTGCCCGAAGAAGGACTGGTGCACCGGCACCACGTGGTCCGCCTCGCAGCTGCCCGCGTCGATGGGTGCGGCGCAGAGCGCGCAGGCTCCCCGCTGCTCCCGCAGCAGCCGCTGCACGTCGCCGCGGTCCCGGCGCGCCTTCAGGAGCGCTCCGAAGACCTCGCTGGCCGCGCCGGCGAGCCGCTGCCCGCGGTACACGAAGCCCAGCTTGCCCATCCACGCGTCCAGCACCTCCGCGTCCTCGGGGTACTCGTGGATCACGCAGTCTCCCTGCCCCCGCACGCGCAGCCGCAGGTAGCGCCACTCCACGAGCCCCCGCAGGACCACCTTGGGTTGGTGGCCCTCCGCGAGCAGGCGGGAGCGCGCGACGCGCAGGTCCTTCGCCCAGTAGTGCCCGGGCTCGAGGGCGCCCTGCCACTCCCGCCACTCGCCGAAGGGCGGCACGGTCGACTCCCGCCGCTCTCCGCGGTAGCTCGGAACGTCCCGCGGCTCGCCGTCGCACCAGGCCACGGCCCGCGCGCTCTTGTAGAAGTAGGCGTGGTCGCGGTAGACGCAGAGCGCCAGGGCCCGCTCCTCCTTGACGGGCGGCTCGTAGCAGTCGATCATCTGCCCTCGGCAGTTCACGATGAACATCGGCGCCTTGCGCCACTCGCAGAACTGCCGGATCTCCTTGCCGGTGACGCCCCTCTGCTCCCAGCCCTGGGGGCAGATCGCGTCGAAGTCCGAGTAGATCTCCTCGAAGGGCAGCTGCAGCAGCTCCGCGACCTGGCGCACCACGCAGAGCCTGTCGGCGCGCTCCTCGAAGGCGCTCTCCAGGATCTCCGAGCCCCTGAAGAGCTGGTAGGAGACGTCCCGCAGCGCGCCCAGCGGCTGGCGGAGCGTCACCTCCGTCTCCACCTGGTTGTTCTGCGCCACCTGCATCGTCTGCTTGGAGACGCCCCAGTCCCGCGAGGCGTCGTAGTAGTACGTCTCGTCCGAGAGCTCCGTGACGACGTCGCCGTCCTCGGGGTTCCCCATCTTGCGGAGCGCCGCCGCGATCACGTTCCGGTGCTGCTGCACCTCGCTCAGCCCGTCGTTCTGGCGCCCGAGGCCGTCCAGGATCACGGGCAGGAAGTCGTCCCTCTGGTACGGCTGCCCGCGGCGCCGCCTTCCACGGATCCTCACGGGCATGTGGGCGATGAAGTCGGTCCACTTGTCCTTGAAGAAGGCCTTGCCCAGCTTGGTGACGCGGTAGCTGCCGTCGGGCTGCAGGCTGCGCACCAGCTTCTTGGCGCCTCCCCGCAGCAGAATGTAGTCGTTGGGGCCGTCGCGCACGAGCGGCTGCGCCTCGTTGAAGCGCCGGGAGGGCGGGCGCCGCCCGACCAGCTGGTAGTAGAAGGATCCTGCGCGCGTGGGCTGTCCGTCTGGCCGGGCGAGTAGGAGCTGCTGGGCGTTGGGGAGGCGCAGGAGCTCCGAGCCCTGCGGCGAGGTGCGCGCGGAGACGCCCGCCTCCACGGCCCGCCGGATTCTCTCGCGCTGCTGTGCCCATGACATGATTTACTACCCGCCCCTCGGCGGCGGCGGTCGGGCGAACGCAGGTCCCCTGGCTAGCCGTGTCGACGGGTGCCCCAATTTCAAAATCGGGGCACGCATCGGGGCACCCATCGGGGCACCTACTCGGTGTAGCCCGTGTCGATGGTCGAACGCGTCTAAAAGGGGCATTGCGGCTCCGGCGGCTCGCAGTGCTGCAGCATCACGTCCGTGACCTCCGCCAGCACGCCGCACTGAGAGCTCATCAGCCACACCTGGCGCAGCTCCACGTGGACCTTGCACAGGCAGCCCTGCAGGTGCAGCTTCTGTGCTGGGAGTTTCTCGCCCTCTGGCCCCCACAGCCGCACCTTGTCCCAGTGGAGCTTGAGCTTCAGGAACTCCGTTTCCTTGGTGCTGATTTTGAGCGCGCTGGCCATCCGCTCCTGCACCTCCTCTGGTTTGAGGGGCTTGCCGAAGATGCGGGAGTCGCGCTGAGAGTGCTCCGACAACGCCTTGGCCGCCCACTCCTCCGTCTCCCGGAAGAAGGCCCGGGCGGCCTCGTCGGGCTCCAGGCACATGGAGACACGCACCGCCTCGGGGTCGCCGTAGCTGGAGGGGTTCCAAATCACTTTCAGCCAGTTGCTCTTCCACGTGGGCGCATCGCCACCGTCTCCGCGCAGCGGGATGTACTTTCCACCCTTGGAGTTTGTGAGGATGTTGCCAAGCTGGATCGTCATGGCTCCCGTTTTATTCCTCCTCAATAAAAAAAATGTCGCCCTGTGAACGCGCCGGCCCCGTGAGCTTCGGGGAGTTTCTGTGCGTCGCGCTGACGCTGGCCGGCGGCGTCGCCGTGTTGTGGGTCCTCGCGAGACCGTGGGAGGAACCGTGGTAAAAAAAAAATGCGGCTGCTCGAGCTCTTCTCGGGCACGGGGTCCGTGGGCCGCGCCTTCGAGGCCCGCGGCTGGGAGGTCACGAGCCTCGACCTGAACGCCAAGGCCCGCCCGACCATCTGCTGTGACATCCTCCAATGGCACTACAGGGACTACGCTCCCGGCCACTTCGACATGGTGTGGGCGAGCCCCGTGTGCACCGAGTTCTCCATGGCCCTCAGGAACCGCCCCCGCGACCTGCCGGCCGGCGACGCGCTGGTCCTCAAGGCCCTCGAGATCATCGACTACCTCAAGCCCAGGTGGTGGGCCCTCGAGAACCCGGCCACGGGGCTGCTGAAGACGCGCGAGTACATGGCCGGGCTGCCCTTCCACGACGTCACCTACTGCAAGTTCGGCTATTCGTACCGTAAACCCACGAGGATCTGGGGCAACCTGCCCTGGACGCCCTCTCGCGGCGTCTGCAGGAAGGGCGACCGCTGCGAGGCCTTCGACGGCCGCGGGCACCCGGCGAGCGCGCAGCGGGGCTCCCGCAGAGGCTATGAGGGTAGCTTCTCCAGGGACGATCTGTACTCCATTCCTCCCGCCCTCTGCGACGAGATTGCCGGGAGCGTCAATTAAAATGTGCTGCGGGCTCCACGAGTGCTACCGGGCGCTCTAGGTAAAGAATGGGCAAGGTGCGTCTCTTCAAGACGCCGGAGTACAGCGTCAAGCAGCCGCCCGATCCGGTTGTCTGCAAACCCCCCGCCAACGGGATCCTGTGCGCGCCCTCGGCCAGCGGGAAGACGGTGCTCTTGGTGTCAATGATTCTCGCCCAATATCGTGGGTGCTTTGAGCGCATCTACATCTTCTCGCCCTCGGTGGAGGTCGACTCCGCCTGGCAGCCCGTCAAGGAGTACATCAGAGACGAGCTGGGCGTGAACACGGACCGGGAGCAGTGCTGGTGGGAGGACTGGGACGAGGGGGCGCTCCGGAAAATTATCGCCGACCAGAAACGCATCACGCAGAAGTCCAAGGAGCTGGGCCTGAAAAAACTTTACTCTGTTTTGGTGGTCCTTGACGACCATGCTGATAACGCCGCGGTGCACCGCAAGACGGGAGACGGCGTTTTGGACACGCTCTTCATCCGCGGCCGACATTTCTGCATCAACACCTGGGTGAGCACCCAGAAGCTGCGTCTCATGAGCTCCGCCGTGCGGGTCAACGTCATGTTCTACGCGGTGTTTCGTCTGCGGAACCAGCTGGAGCTGGACGCCCTGGTGGAGGAGCTCTCCGCCATGCTCCCGAAGGAGACCCTCTACGCCATGTACGAGGAGGCCACCAGGGAGCCCTACTCGTTCTGGTTCGTGAACCTCCGCGCCCCCAAGGAAGATATGTTTTGGGTGCGCTTCGACCGGAAGTTCCTCCTAAACGGCGATGGGCAGCCTGCTGAGCCAGATGGCGGCCAAGCTGCTGGGCGGGGGCCCGATCTGCGAGAGCGAGTGCAACAACCTTAGGTGCTGCACCACGACCACGGGCGTCTACGACCCCAGCCGCCACTGGCCCCCGCCCCAGAGGCCACGGCAGGTCTCGGAGGAGTCGGCCACCAGCGAGTTCTCGGCGCGGCGCACGGGGATTTTCCGCCGTAGAAGAAAGCTCATGGTGTCTCTGTACGTGGACTCTCGGATGCGTACACAGGGCACGGACTCCGACTTCTCCTTCGACATCGGCGAGAGCGTGCACATCCAGAGCGGGGCCAAGCTGGCCGTCTACAAGGTGCGCATCGCCGACGCCTTCCTGAGCACGGACCGCGGGACGTTCCTGTACTGGGAAGACGAGGTGGCCGGCACCCTGCACTACGCGGAGCTCCCCGTGGGCGCGTACACGGGCCCTCGGCTGGCCGCGTGGATCAGCAGCAACTTCGCCGCGGCCACGTACACGGCTGAGACGAACGAGCTGGACGTCACCTACGACGGTGTGCGCCTGATCCTCAACGACGCCGAGCTCCGGCAGCGCTTCCCGGGCACGGGCTCCTACCCGCCGGGCGCCTCGCCCAGCAAGCCCCTCAGCATCAACCACCTCCTGGGCCCCAGCTACCTCACGGGCTCCGTGCAGCGCTTCGTCTTCGTGACGATGAATCCGTACTCTGAGCTATACCTCAGGTGCCCGTCGCTGGCCAACGGGGAGACCACGGTCGGCCCGCTGGGGCACGACATCCTCTGCAAGGTCGTCGTCTCCAAGGGCGTGGGTCATGTGATGGAAGCAGAGACGTCGGAGGGCCACTGGGTTCAGCTCCACGGGCCCATCACGCTGCGCCACTTGCGCTTCAAGCTCACCGACTACCAGGGCAACGTCGTGAACACCAGGGGCACCAGCGTGTCCTTCCTGATCTTCTTGGACACTGAACGATAAATGTTTAATAGATTAAATGGCTGAGCAGGAAGATGCACCCGCTCCTGTGGCCGCCGAGCCCTTGGTGGCCGAGCCCCTGGCCGAGCCTGCCGAGCCTGCCGCGCCCGACCCCGAGCCCGCAGCAACCCCACTCCCCGCCCCAGCACAGCCCTCGGAGCCGTCGGTGGTTCCCGCTCCCGAGCCGCCGCAGCCGAAGCGAAGAGGCAGGCCGCCGGGCTCCAAGAACAAACCGAAGCCCGCCCCGCCCACCGTGGCGGTGGTGGCCGAGCCTCCGAAGGCTCCTCCGACGGCTGCGCCCGCGCCCGCACAGCCTTCGGAGCCCCCCGCAGCCCCCCAGCAACAGCCAACCGAGCCGGTCCGCATGACGCCCTCGGAGGCCCGCCACGCCCGGCACCTCTCCCGCGCCGACCGCTTCCACGAGCTCCTGCTCCGCAACACCATGGATCTCTGATCCTGTAAATGATGCCCTTTCCGGAGCGGCGCAACGAGGCGGCGATGCTGCGGGCGTTCCACAAGCAGTACCCCTCCTACAACCTGACGCCGCTGCTCTACAAGAGACAGCAGCAGCTCATCGACGCGCGGGCCTTCAACGAGTGGCTGGCCAACCGGCGGCTGCGCCAGGAGGGCGAGAGCTACGCGGACGAGGTCGGGCGCATGACCGACGCCGTGAACCGCAGGATCCCCCAGCTGAGGTGGGCCCCCGCCGAGCGGGCGGGCGTGCGCAGGATGGCGCGGGACGTGGCCGCCGGCCGGAACACGGCGGACTCAGGGGTCTATGGGGGTCTCATGTAAAAATGTACGAGAGCCTGGTGGAGCAGGCGACGGAGAGCGACTGGACGGAGGAGGAGAAGCGCGACTGGTACAGGGAGCGCCCGGACGACGCGGAGTACTACCAAGTCCAGCGCGACCTCTTGCGGGACGGGCTGACCCGCAAGGCGCAGCTGACGCAGCTCGCGCCCCACCGGGAGGGCGGCCCGATGCTCTGGGCCATCGGCCTGGAGGGCCCGTCGCCCCTGAAGCGCCCCGAGGCGGAGCAGTACCACCCGCTGCACGTGAGCCTGGCCTTCGACGACGAGCTCTCGGAGGAGCAGAAGGAGGACCTCCTCCGCGAGTGGGGCGAGGAGCGCGAGGTCACGCTGCAGTTCCACCGCTTCACCTCCGGCGGCACGGGCGAGCTCTCCCTCAACTGGGATCCCATCGCCAACTCGGAGAGCGTGCAGAAGGCCCACGAGCTGGGCTACTTCCGGGACCGCGCGCTGCACGTCAGCTTCTAGTAAAGACATGGAGGAGCGGCGCGCGCACGGCTTCCGCGTCAAGCCCTCGTACGCTCAGGTCCTGGGCTACATCGCCGAGGGCGAGCCCCTGCCGATCAACCTCCCGAACCGCAACGCCAGCATCTACACCTCCAGCCACTTCTGGCTGGACGACTACCCGCAGAGCAGCGAGCCCGAGCCAGCCCCGCTGCCCCACACGACCGTGGACCCCGCGGCGGCCTACGAGGACGCCAACGAGGGCTACGATGGCGTGCCCTTCCCGAGAAGGGACTTCCTGCGCCCCAGGCCCTTCGACCTGGACAGCGAGTCGGACGTGGCCGTGGATCCCGGGCAGGCGCTGAGAAACGACGGGTTTGAGCCGCCGCCGGCGCCGGGCTTCCTGGGGCGCCTGCAGCAGGCCGAGGCCGCGGCGGGGGCAGCGGCGGGGCTGGCGGGCTCCGCCTCCGCCATCGCGGGGCACGGGCAGGACCTATACAACGCCGCGCGCAGGGGGCGCAGCTGGATCGACCGGAACCTGCGCATCCCGCGCGCGCCCGAGGGCCTGGCGCCCCCGCCGGACGAAGTAGCCCCTCCGCAGATCATCGGGAGGCCCAGCGAGGTGGAGCCTCTGCTGGAGCGGGCGGGGCAGAGGGCCCAGGAGGTGGAGAGGGCGGCAGCCCGAGACATCGAGCAGTTCATGAGCGAGCAGATGGCCGAGGCCGAAGCAACCGAGGGCTTCGCTTCCACCGCAGAAATGGCTGCGGGGGCTGCGGAGGCGGCAGGTGCTGCAGAGGCGGGAGGAGGCACGCTCGCGGCCATCGGCTCTGGGCTGGCCGCCGCCGGAGAGGCTGCGCTGCCCGTGGCCGCCACGGTGGGAGCGGCGGCGGGAGGCCTGGCCGTGGCGGGCGCGGGCGCAGCCCTGGTGGGCACCGCGTGGGCGCTCCACGGAGGCATGGTGGCGGCGGAGCACCTGATGGGCTGGGGGGGAGGAGGAGGCACCGACACGGACGCCTCCCGCCCCAGCTCCGCGCCAGACATTCAGACCTTGAACGGCATGCAGGAGTTTGGGGCGGAGCAGCACTTCCAGGTCCGGGAACAACGCCCGAGGCCCCAGGTCTACCGCATGGACACCGAGAGCGAGTCCGAGCCTCGGGCCCAGCCAGCGCCCAGGGTGCAGGCCCGCCCCGCGAGGCCCACGCGCTTCCCGACGGGCCTCAACCCCGCTCCCCTGGCGCAGTCCTCGGGCAGCGACTCCTCCCGGCCACGGATGCAGCGTCAGGCCTCGGAGAGGTCCCGCGCGGCACCACCGCCTTCCTTCGAGGCGCTTCGCAGCGCGAGCGAGCCGGAGGCCGCGTGAAATCTTTCCGGTAGAGTAAAACCATGGAGCAGGTGACTGCTGCCGTGAACGACGAGCTGGTCCAGAGCCTCGACTACAAGCTCCAGTCGAGCAACGTCAATTACGTGCAGAGCCGCAAGGATGTGCAATATTATCCGAGCTCGCTGAGCGTCTTCACGCCGACCACCAGCCGCGTGTGCCGTATCCCGCTGACGAGCGGCATGGACTTCGTGGACGGCGAGAGCGTCAAGCTCGGCTTCACGGTGCGCAACAACTCCACCACGGCCACGCTGCGGCTCGGCTCGCCGGACCCCAGCTGCCTCATCGACCGCGTCGAGGTCTTCGCCAACGGCACACGCATCGAGGACATCTCCTACTACAACCGCTGCTCGTACCTCTACGGCCTGCTCAAAAACGAGGAGTGGTGGCTGAACCGGCACATCCAGGGCTTCCTGGCGGACGGCGGGGGCCACGCCGCCGAGATCGCGGCCTCGGGCTCCCGCACCGTGCTCATGAGCCCGCACCTCATCGGGATCTTCAACTGCGGCAAGATGCTGCCCCCCGAGCTCAACCTGGTGCTCCAGATCACCTTCGCCGACCCCTCGGACGCGGTCCGCAACGTCAGCGCGAGCCAGGACTTCACCATCGAGAACGTGAAGCTTTACGCCTCGCAAGTTACCCTCGATAGTTCGATCCGGGAGGCGTTTCAGCGCATCGTCACAAGCGGCCGCAGCCTGATTTTTTCCTTCCCGACCATGCACACGCAGCTCTCCAGCATCCCCGCCGGGTCCACCAGCTACAACATCGTCGTTAGTCGGGCGTTCACGAAGATGCTCGGAGCCTTTGTGACCTTCAACCGGTCGGATCTGGACACCGTTGACAACTTCGAGTTTCCCGGAGCCAACGTGAACCGCAACCTCAAGAGCCAGCTGCAGCTGGGCGCGCTGCAGTACCCTCGCACAGCCAACGAGAGCATCGCGGAGCATCATCACTTCCTCGAGATTCTGGCGGGCACCTACGACTCGAAGCTTCGCAACATGCGCATCCGGGACAACCTCTACGGGAACAATCAGTTCATCGCAGCCTTCCCCGTGGAGCGCGTCCCGAAGCACCCGCTTTCGGGCATCTCAACCCGCTCCGGTGACCTGTGCCGCTTCAGCTTCTCGAACATGGAGGCGGACCGCGTGGACCAATGCTTCATCCACATGATTTCGTACCAGCTCGTGACGCTTTCAGGAGCTGGGGTCAGTTCCCTCGACTAGTAAAACATGAGTCTTTTTGAGTCCACCATCACCGGGAACATCCTCAACGATGGCCAGACCCCCATCGCCACCATCGAGATGCAGGGCATCTCCGCGGGGCAGCTCGCCACGGTCCTGACGGCCTACACGCCCCTCACGGACACGGTCGCCAACACCGCCTCCATCGGCACCAACTCGGCCGCCGTGGCCGCGCTGCAGACGCAGGTGGCGGCCATCCCCGCGCCGCCCGACCTGACCCCATACGCTCTGGCGGCCGACCTCGCAGCAGCCGAGGGCCTCATCGCCGCCAACCAGTCCTCCATCACCTCCCTCAGCACCAGCCTGACCACCGGGCTGGCGGGGAAAGCGAACCAATCGGCCCTGGACGCCCTGCAGCTGGACGTGGACGGCAAGAGCACGCCCGCCTCCGTGGACCTGAAGCTTGCGAACCATCCCACCAACGCTTCCATGAACAGCGCGATCACCACGGCCAACAACGCCACGCTGGCCACGGTGGCGGCCAACTACGGGCTCAAGAGCACGCAGGATCAGCAGGCCCTCGACATCGCGGCCCGGCAGACGGCCGCGGACGTCTCCCAGGCCATCGCCACCGCGCTCCTCCCGTACACCGACACCAGCGGCCTGAACAGCGCGGTGGCCCTGCGCACCACGCCCGCGGACGTGGACCAGAAGATCGCCACCGCCCTGCTGCCCCTGGTGGCCCAGACGGCCCTGGACGCCGCGCTGGCCCTCCGCGACGGGAGGCTCGACGCCGCGGAGGCGGCCCTGGCGGCGCTGCAGGCAGCGGGCTTCCAGACGGCTGCCGACGTTGCGGCGGCGCTCGCCACGGCCCTCGCAGCCTACACCGACACCGCGGGGCTCAACGGTCTATTGGCCGTGCGGGACGCGCGCCTGGACGGGCACGACGCGGAGATCCTGGCCCTGCAGGGAGCGGGGCCCTTCGCCACCTCGGCCGACCTCTCGGCCTCCGAGACGAGTCTGCAGAGCGCCATCGACGCGCTCAACTCCGCGCTGGCCGCGCTGACCACGGGAGGGGGCACGAACCTCGCCAACGCCCAGGCGTGGCCCGGGCAGACGACCTGGGACCTCCTGGTGGGCACCAACACCATCCGCAACCTGCACTTCAGCGGCGCCCCCCTGAGCGTCTCCCTCGAGAACGACAACTTCACGCTGTCCCTGGCCTGTGACGCCTACACGCAGGCGGAGGTCACCGCCCTGCTGGCGCCCCTGGCCAGCGAGTCCTGGGTGCTGGCCACCCTGGGCAGCTTCTACACATCGGCGGAGACCAACGGGGCCATCACGGCCGCGCTGGCATCCTACTACACATCAGCGGAGACGGACGCGGCCATCGCCACCGCCGTGGGGGCCATCGACCTGTCTCCGTACAGCACCGTCGCTGCCCGGGACGCCGCCATCGCGGCCGCCCTGGTGCCCTACAGCACCACGGTGCAGATGGACGCCGCCATCGCGACGGCGCTGGACGACTACGTGCCCTGGACCGGGCTCCAGGCGCCCATCCTCAACGAGATCAGCATCGCGCTCGCGCCCTACTACGTCATCACGGAGGTGGACGCCCTCGTCGCAGGCGTGGCAATTTCCAACGCCCCCGCCTGGGCCGGGAACACCACCTGGGAGCTGCTCGCCGGGCAGGCGCTCCGGAACCTGCACTTCGCCGGGCCCCTGGTGGCCACGCTCCAGAACTCGGGCAGCACGCTGCAGATCGAGTGCCAGGCCTACGACCAGAGCCAGACGTACACCCAGGCTGAGGTGAACGCGCAGATCTCGAGCGCCGTGGACGCGCTCAACGTCTCCCAGTACGCCACGCAGGCCGACATCGACAGCTCCATCGCCTCGGAGCTCACCAACTACTGGGACCAGGGCGAGACCTCGGCGGAGATCGCGAGCCAGATCAGCTCCTCCGGGCTCCTCACGGAGGCCCAGGGGGACGCGCGCTACCACCCCGTGATCGGCAACGCCGGCGGGGGAGGCATCATCCCGATGGTCCTGGACAACTTCACGCCGCGCATGATCCGCGCGCTGCTGCCCCAGGCACCCCTGGGAGCGAACCTGATCCTGGGCAACTCCGCCACGGTGCAGCTTACGTGTGACTGCTACAGCAAAAGCGAAAGTGATGGGAGGTACTTCTCCAACAGCGACTTCACGCCCCTGGACTCCAGGTACCATGTGGTCAACGGCAACGCGGGGGGTGGGGGCATCATTCCTATGGTGCTCGACAACTTCACGCCAAGAATGATAAGGGCGCTGCTGCCCCAGGCACCCCTGGGAGCGAACCTGATCCTGGGCAACTCCGCCACGGTGCAGCTTACGTGTGACTGCTACAGCAAGGCCGAAAGCGACGCCCGCTATGCGCTGGCGGGTGCGCCGCCCTCGGATCCCCTGCTGGTCAATGACGTGAGGGCCAACGGAGCGGATTTCTTGACGCTGCGGGGCGGCAACCTGGGCATCGAGTTCGAGGCTTCCAACGGGGCCGCCGTGGCCGACCTGTCCTCGAGCCAGTTCAGCCTCAAGACGGGCGTCAACATGCTGACCATGGGCCGAATCTTCGCGGACAGCAGCCTGGGCATCGCCACGGCCGGCAGCATCCAGGCGGACACCGTGGAGCCCCTGCTTCCGACCAATCAATTTCTTAACCTGAAGGCGGGCACCGTGTCTGTCAGGGTGACGGACCAGGCGGACCAGAGCCTCTGCACCTTTGCCACGGCGGAGGTGCACTCGATAGCCCCGAGGCTGCGCGTGGACACGGAGCTCTACATCGACGACGCCGCGGGCACCGCCACGGGGCTGGTGACCAACGCCATCTCCACGCGGGTCCAGGACACGGAGCTCACCATTACCGGAGGCTCCGGGGGCACCGTCGTCAACGGCGCCCTGGACGTGCAGGGCACGCTAACCTCGGGAAGCGTGGAGCTCAGCACGGAGCTGCGGGCGCCCACGGTGCGGGCCCGGCCCACAGACGACTACCTCACATTGACGGGCGGCACCCAGGGCACCTACCTCAACTCGGTGCTCTACACCGCCTCCGCCATCAGGGCAGACAACGGCATCGTCTCCAGCCCCGCGTACCTGGAGCTCATCGGCGGCAGCACCGGCGTGCGGGCGCAGGGGGACCTGCAGGTCGTGTCCACCGTCAACAGCGGGGACGTGACGGCGGAGGTGCTGAACCTCGCTGCCGCGGGCAACGCGCGGCTCCTCGTGGCCTGCAACGCGGGCTCGGCCGAGCTCTCCGCCTCATCCGCCGGCGGCGTGGAGCTCTACGCCCAGGACCAGGCCATCTTCCTGCGCACCGCGGCCAGCGGTCCCGCCAACCTCATCGTGGAAGCCAACACGGGCGGGATCAACGACGGGGAGGTGATCGTGAACTACGGCTTCCAGAACCTCTCGGACGAGAAGCTGAAGCACAGCGTGGAGCCCGCGGGGCTCGAGGAGCTGCAGGAGCTCTTCGACGCCGTGGCACCCAAGTGGTACCGGCGCACCGACGGCAGCCAGAAGCGCACGCTGGGCTTCATCGCCAACGAGGTGCAGGAGACGGGGCCCGTGGGCCAGGCGCTGTGCGGGAAGCTCGTGGACGAGGAGCTCGGGGAGCTCGTGACGCTCGACTACAACCGCATGTGCTGCGTGCTCTGGGGGATCTGCCAGGGGCTCCAGGCCCGCGTGGAGGCGCTGGAGAAGAAGAAGCGGGGCCGCTCGGCCTCATAAATGGCGGAGGAGGCGGCGCTCCAGTTCTTCCGGGGCCTCGCGGAGGAGTACAACGTGCGGGACCCGCGCAAGCTCCACCAGCTGGCCCGCCGGGACCACCCCGAGCGCAGGGATCTGACGGCGGCGCGGGCCCGCCAGGCCCTGCGGGGGGACGTGGCGCGGCAGGTGCTTGCGCCCAAGCCGCGGAGCCTGGGCAAGAGCGCGGCGGAGGGCCCCAACGACCGGCTGCAGGCGGATCTGGTGGACTTCTCCCAGAACACTCGGGGGAGGAACAAGTACGGGCTGGTGGTGACGGACGTCTTCACGCGGGAGGTGGCCACGAAGGCCCTGCCCGACAAGCAGGCGGAGACGGTGACCCAGGCCGCCGCCGAGATCATCCCGAAGCTGGTGGAGGGGGAGAGCAACTACGTGGTCTCCACGGACCAGGGCAACGAGTTTCAGGGCCTGGAGGAGGCGCTCCCGGAGCCCGCGGTGCACCGGCACAAGCGGCCGGAGGACCGGAACGCGCTGGCCGTGGTGGACAGGGCCATCCAGACGCTGAAGCGGGACCTGGCGGGGAAGGTGGCGCGGGACGGGGGCGGCTGGGCGGAGCACGTGGAGGGGGCCGCGGAGGCCTACAACAAGCGCCCGCACGAGGCGGTGCACGCGGCGCCCGAGGACGTGGAGAAGCAGCCGGCCACCACGTTCCGCGTCTACCAGGACAACGCGCGGAAGTTCCAGCACAACCGGGAGCTCACGGAGGGCCGGCAGCGGCGCCTCGCGGAGGCGGGGGCCTTCCGCGCCCCCACCAACGCCCAGAGGAGCTTCCAGCCCCAGTACGGGCCCGTGAAGCAGCTGGCAAGCTACGACTCGATGACGGTGCGGGCCACGGACGGCACGGAGGGCCTGCTGAAGCACGTGCAGCCCGTGCCCAAGGCCAGCGGGGAGCCCGTGCAGAGGCTCACGCAGCCGGGCGTGCCGCTGGCCGCCAGGCAGCTGCGGGATTTCAACGCCGCCCCGAAGGCCCCGCCCGCGGCGCCGGCGGCTGCCCCTGGCCCAGCCCCTGGCCCTGCCCCTGGCCCTGCGGCGGCGGCTCCCAAGGCGGCGCCGGCGAGGAGGCTGCCCCTGGCCGTGCGGCAGCTGCGCGACTTCAACGCCCCCCCGCCGCGCAGGGCGCCTCGGGAGCTGAACTGATTGGCACCCTCTTGGCTTCCCCGCCCCGAAGGGGGGTACTAGAGCCCTCCCGCCACGTCAAGGCGGGGTGCCGTCGGGAGGGAAAAAAGGCCGGAGCGGCATGGGCGGAGCCCGGTAAAGGCGGCCGGCGCGGAGCGCGTGAAACTGAAGGTAAGGCCGCGGCGCTCATCTGCTCCTGCTCCTGGATCGGGAGCGCGTGCGGATCTGCTCCTGGCGCGGGGCAGGGAAAAAGGAAAGTCTGATGGCGTAAGCCGGTCCTCGGAGAGCTCGCGGATCACCAGGCGGCCCTCGATGCGGTCCTGTCAGGGGGTGGGAGCGGGGAGTACATGTTGAAGTCCAAAAGGTCCTCCACGGTTCTGAAGATCCGCGCCACGTGGCGAGCGATGTCCTCCTGGATCTGGACCTGGGACGAAAAGGGGGGGAGAGGGGACACTTTCGGGAGCGGGAGCCGGGATCACGGCCAGCTGCTGAAGGCCCGCGCGCGCGAGCTCTGACTCCCGCTCCGCGGGTGTCAAAGCACAATAGCTCTGGAGGTGAGTGCTCATGGCTGCGGCGGGACATGCTTCAACAAAAAAAATCAAAAAAAAAACTGACATGGAGGGCTGGGGGGGCAACTGCAACAGCGTGACTCTACACCAAGAGGCGGCGGACCTCGCCGTCCTCCACCTCGACGTCCTCCAGCTTCCCCGGCAGGGGCTGGCGACTGACCCGGTTCAGGCCGGCGCCCCGCGCGACGTGGTGGTTGCATCGGTGCCGGGAGGTCGAGGCCCGGACGGCGGGGCGCAGGAGCGCCTGCTCGAGGGCGTGGCGTCGGGCCGCGGCCGGGGCCATTCTCTCCAGGGTGATTTGCAGGCTCCGGAGCTCGTGCTGGGCGCAGCGGTTCCGGAAGAGGTGCTCGAGGCAGTGCTCGACGAAGACTCGCTGGAGCATGACCTGAAAGACGTAGACGTTTGCGTAGAGCCGGTCGAACCGGAGCAGCCGGCAGCTGCCGAGAAGGGCGAGCGCGTCGCGCGCGAGAGGCGCCGCCTCGTGGTTGTGGGCGAGGTTTTCGAACATGCGTCCGGCCATGCGCCGCTGCTGCACAAACCGGTCCCGACCGTCGAGCCACTCGGCCGGCAAAAGGTAGCCCACGATTTCTTCCAGCACCCCCTGGGGCAGCGCCCCGAACCCCCCCGCAGCGCGAAGGCGGCGCTTCTGCGGCGCGAGCTCCTCGAAGAACAACGCGGCGGCGCGCTTCATCCGCCAAAATACCCTAAAACCCGAAGAAAATTCCCGAAAAATGGCTGGACTGCTTCAAGCTGCTCTGCCGGACGCTGGGTCTCTTTTTCACTGGCGCCCGGCAAGGAGCTGTCTATCTGAACGCGGGCGCGGAGCTCGCTGAACCGGGTCTCCTGTACTGAGCCCACGGACCCGCATGCTGCATCGATCTCACACATTCAGGACCCCAAATAAAAGCACATGTGCGGGGTCCACGAACTCTAGACTAAACCCACAAGCCCTGCGGCTCACCGTCCACCACGACCTCCTCGACAGCTACCTCCAAAGGCTCCATTGTCAGCAGCTCCAGCCCCGCAGCTGAAATGAGCTGATCATCGTTCAGGACTCTCGAACCGCGCCTCCTCGTCCAAACCCGGAGCATGGACTGCTCCAGAGCATGCTGACGGCCAAAGGACGCCCTCACCATCATGAACCTGTCGACCGTGATCGCCAAGGCTCGCAGCTCAGCATGTTCGGCGCCGCTGTGCGCCAGCTGATCCAGGCAGCCGCCAATGAAGGACAAGTGGAGATCCAGCTGGAAATTGTTGATCCTGGCTCGGAGCTCCGCGAGCTGCACCGCACAGATCCGAGACGCGGACAGCAGGGACAGGGCACTGCGGCTGATCACCATGCACTCGTGGTTGTAGGCCGGCTTCTCCACCATCCGGGCCACCATCCGGTTCAAGCAAATCCGAGCCAAAGAGGATCCTGCTCGCCACTCATCCGGCACCAAGAAGCTCACCACGTGCTCCAGCAGAGAGGCGCGCGTCAAGCTGCACAAGTCCATGGCTGCTCACCTGTGCCCCACAAGGTTTGTGCTGAAAAGAGGCTGCCCCGGGAACACGTTCACAAAAAGCTCGGGGGTGAGGCACTCGGGTGGGTTGGGTCGGGGTCCAAACAGCTCTCAACCCTTGCAGCTCAAGTCAACGCAACGGACTCGGAGCTCTTCCTTTTTTTCTGGGCGGAAATGCCACCGGTGCTTTTGCTGGCCGTCAGGGGCCCCAGCGGAAAACACTAAACGCCGGGCGGGCGGGGCTTCCACACACCTGTACAGGGGCTCCCTCTGCTGTGCTGGCCGGCACAAAACCAAAACTAAGAGCTACAAGAAGTGCACCTCCACGATGCCGACCTCCGGGTCCGCGGCCTTCCCGCCGCAGCTCACGGTGGAGTTCCTCGTGATGACGAAGGGTTTCGTTTGCCGAGTCCACCGCTGCTTGCCGCCTTCCTCGCTCCACATCAACCTGCAGGCCGTCAAGGTCTTGTTCTCGAAGAGGGCCTTCACGATGGGCTCGGCCTCCCGAAACGTCTCCAGGCTGTTGGCGTTCAGCTGGAACCAGTTGTCCTCCAGCTCGAAGCCGCTGAGCCCGCACCGCACCTGAAGCTCGCCAGCCTCGGGCGCCTCTGACGCCTCCGTCTCGGGGGCCGCCGTGCTGGCCACCTCAGAGCCGACCTTTTCCTCGATGACGGGCTGGGCCTCCGGGACCTCGGCAGTGAGCTCCTCGGTGGGCGTAGGCTGCGGAGAAGTTGGCTCGATCTCCTTCGCGACCTGGGTGACATTCTTGCTCCAAAAGTCCGGATCGATGTGGTAGAGGCCCTCCTTATAGAACACGATGCCCTTGGGGTGGTAGTGGATCGGGGCCAGGAAGTCGGCGTCGCCCGGCTCCATCTTCACCTCCCGGACCGGCCCCAGCGGGCTATAGCCGACGTTCTGCTCAATGCTGAAGCGCACGACCCTGCCATGCACCGTCATCTCCCACAGCTCCTTGGGCTCGGAGGGCTCTGGCTCCTTGGTCGACCCCGGCTCGGGCGCCTTGGTCGGCTCCTTGGTCGGCTGCTCCTCGATGGGCTCCGGCGCCTTGGTCGCCTTGGTCGGCTCCTCGGTCGGCTCCGGGTCGATGGGCTCCGGCGCCTTGGTCGGCTCCTCGGTCGGCTCCGACTCCTTGATCGGCTCCGGCTCGGTGGGCTCGACGCGCTCCTTCTCGGTCTCCCAGTGGGCCTCCATGGTCTCGAGCGCCACCGCACGGCGCTTCGCAGGTCGAATCTCGGCAACGGGTAGCTTCTCCACCAAGCGGGTCGGGTTCGGGATGAGGAAGCGCAGGATCGCCTGCTTGGGCAGCCTTTTGCCATCTTCGCCCAGAAGCGCCGCCGCCTTCCACACCAGGCGGTCGTGGACCACGCCGCCGTGGAAGCCCTGCAGCCTCACGCCGTTGGATGCGATGGCGTTGCTATGGGCTTTCAGGTTCGAGAGGTCCAACGGCGGCATCAGCTGCACCACAGCGTGCTGCCGGGTGACCATCACCAACCGGGCCTTGAAGCCAAGCACGACCACATAGGCCTCCAGGTCCCTCTCGCGAAACTCCTCCAGGCGGTCCAGCGCGTCGGCCTTGAAGAGGACCGTGCCCTGGTAGACATCGCCCTGCCCCAGCGGAATGCCCAGCTGCAACTGCTGGCGCAGCTTCTCCTCCTCCCTCTCGCGTTTGGCCGCTTCCCTGGCCTGCAGCCGGAGGTTGGCGCTGGAGTCGGGCGGCGCGATCACGAGGTCCATGCGCTGGTTCAGCCCCTCGAAGCCCGCTTTCATCACCTTGAGGATTTCTGCCTGGCCCTCCTTGAGCTGCTCGGTGTTGTCGAGAGTCTCCTTGGCCACCTTGCGGTCTCGGATGCCCTGCTCCCGCTTCTCCTCCAGGTCGACCAGCTTCTGGCGGCATGCTTCCAGCTCCTCCTCCGTGAGCTCCCTGCCGACGCGGCCACCCGAAGCCGTCATGCGCCCCGTGTCGATCTTGGCCCTCAGAGTCTGAATCTGGGACCGCTCGGGAGCGTGCTGAGAGGGCATGGCTCGGAAGTCGAGGTCCTAGCGGATCGCCTTGAGTGCAAATCTTGCTGAGTCGGCACAATTGCTTTACAAGGGCAAACACGAACAAGCCGGCAGCCTGAACGAGGTAAAGGCAGCGGGCGCGCACGAACGACGACAGGTGCCAGACAGGTGCCAGACAGGTGCCAGACAGGTGCCAGACAGGTGCCAGACATGGAGGTGCGACGGGCGCACGACGACAGGTGCCAGACAGGTGCCAGACAGGTGCCAGACAGGTGCCAGACAGGTGCCAGACATGGAGCGACGGGCGCACGACGACAGGTGCCAGACAGGTGCCAGACAGGTGCCAGACAGGTGCCAGACAGGTGCCAGACAGGTGCGCGCGGCGCGACGGGCGCGCGGTGCGACGGGCTGCACAACCAAAACACAGGAACTCGAACCCCTGGCCTTCATTTTCCTTCATCGCACACCGGCGCTTCCCGTGGCGCTTGTGGCCTCGGGACCCTCGTCGTAGAAGAGGCGCACCTCCTCGAAGCCAGCCTCCGGAGCCGCCGCCAGGGAGTCCAGCAGCCTGCGGTGGCGCTCGTTGGCCGTGACCTCCCCCGCCCGGCCGTCCACGGTGAACTCGTCCGGGTTGTAGCGCACCACCTTGGCCAGCGACAGGGCAGCCCGGATCCGCCGCATCCTTCGGGCCTCCCTCTCCGTGTCTCGCAGCTTGTGCTGGTGCTCGTCGACCTCCAGCGCCACCAGGCCCCAGGGCTGCCGCACCAGAAAGTCGACGCGGGCGAAGAGGGGCTCCTCGCCGTCCCGGAAGTCCACCCTGACGCCCCTCTCGAAGCTGACGTCCGCCCCCTCCAGCCAGTTTGCAACCGTGGTCTCGCGGGGCACCCCCAGCTTCCGTCGCTTGGCGTGGCTCTCCAGGTGCTTCTTGAGGTCGCCCGCCTGGTGGAAGCTCGCCTCGCACAGCTCGCAGCGGTGAGGCCTCAGGTTCTCGTGGCGGATCCTGACATGCCGCTCCAGAGACCATTTCGTGCCGAAGGTGTCCTCGCACTGCTGGCACCGAAAGGGCCGCTCCTTCAGGTGCACGGAGCTCACGTGCCTCCGCAGCCCGCTGGCGTCGCGGAAGCTCTTGGCGCAGTCCGGGCACGAGTGAGCCATGGTCCTAAGCAGAGCCCTGGAGCTACGCAGTTTTTGCTGGGATGTGCTGGATGTTGCCCTGGAGCTACGCAGTCTTTGCTGGGATATGCTTGCTGTGAGGCTCACGCGCAGTCTTTGGCCGAAAGGGGCTGTGGGAGTGCAGGGGTTCGAGACGCAGGAGCAAAGGACAGGGAGAGGTCACGGAACCAGGTGGGCTAGGGGCTCGGGGCGGCGGGGGCGGCGGACGGCGGAGGAAGCAGAAGACGGGGGGACAACCAGGCGGGGCCTAAGGGTCTCAGGACCTAGGGTTGGCAGCCCCGGGGCTCGGGTGCCCTGAAAGACCCTGGAAGGGGGGAACACCCTCAGGGCCTTACGGGTGGCTTAGGGACGCACAGGGCCGCGGGGGAGGTTCCGGGGGGCGGGCTCGGGACTTTGAGGGAGGACAAGGGACGGGAGGAAACCGCACAAGGGGTTCAGGCACCCTCCTAGGGGGTGGGGGCAACCGAAGGGGTTGGGGGAAGCCCACGCGCACTCACCCTTTTTGGCTCCGTGGTGCACGTGTGAGAAACTCACCCCTCTACGCCAGGGCCCAAGCCCCCCCGGCGACCCGTCGCTTTACCATTGACCACCGCTCCCGGGTGCCCCCCCTAAAGTCTTGCTGCCTATGCTCTATGACTAAGAAAACCCGGCACCCGGGGAGGACCACCCTAGGCACCCAAAAACTCTTGTAATACCACCCCTGCGTTAAATAATCCCTTTAAACCCGCGACGGGGCGTGGTCCCCGGGTTTCCGCCTACGCGTGTCACGCCACCAAGGCGCCACCACAGGCGCCGCCAGCGCCACCAAAGGCACCACAGCGCCACAGCGCCACCACGGCGCCACCACAGCGCCACCACGGGGCCACCAAGGCGCCACCACAGCGCCACCAAAGGCACCACAGCGCCACAACAGCGCCACCAAAGGCACCACAGCGCCACCACGGCGCCACCACAGCGCCACCACGGCGCCACCAAAGGCACCACAGCGCCACCACAGCGCCACCACCACGGCGCCACCACAGCGCCGCCACCAAGGCGCCACCAAGGCGCCACCACAGCGCCACCAAGGCGCCACCACCACGGCGCCGCCTCATGCGGCGAAAACCGCTCGGCCTCCCACAAAGCGGATGCGGAGGCTCCCTGGGGCTCCGCCGTCTCCGCCCCCCTCAGGCCCCCTCTTGCCCAGCACGTCTCGCTGGGGAGCTTCGCGGCCCTTCTTCTCCTTCTGGTCCTTCTTGTCCTTCTTGCCCTTCTTGTCCTTCTTCTCGTTCTTCTCCTTGCCGCTTCGCCCAACCCTGCTGCTTCGCCCAGGTGCCGCCTTGCTGCTTCGCCCAGGCGCCTCCGCAGCAGCCTCCCCAGCCGCCGCCGCGGCGAAGGGGTCGACGCCAAAGTCGGGTGACTGCCTTTGCTTCTCAGGGACCAGGGGAGGGACTCAACTAGGGACCAGGGGAGGGACTCAACTAGGGACCAGGGGAGGGACCAAAGGGATTAAGGGACTCGATTGAATATAAAAACAAAAGGAGCTGCTGAAATCAAAGCTGGTTGCGAGGCCTCGTCCTCGTCCTTCTCCTCCAGATCAGAAGCCTCCGCAGCCTCCGGCTCCTCCACCTTCTCCCCGCCCTTCTGGCGGACCTCTGCCAAAGTGGACCCCCGCCAGCGCTCGCAGTGCAACCTCGACCGCGGGTTCTTCGCCACGTGCTTGCACGCGTCGCAGATCTGGCAACGTGGTAGCCTGGGAGTGGTCGGTGTGGTTCTCGTCGGGGTCTTGGTCCCACCTGGCGTCGTAGCTGGCTTCATAGACTGGCCCAGCTGCACGGTCACGGTCTCCAAGAACCGGTTCATGATCAGGTGGAAGTGGCGGTTCCGCGCGTCTTCCTGGCGCGCGCCCAGCTGGAGGAGCTGGTTGCAGAAACCCTGCAGCTCCTTTAGCTGCTGTTGCTGCTGCTGCTGAAGCTGCTGTTGCTGCCGCAGCATCTGCTGTTGCTGAAGAACAAGCTGGGTCAGGACCGGCAACTGGCGCTCCTCTTGCAGAGACTGGGACAAGTGCTCCTGGACCGCGGTCTGAACCCGGGCTCTGAAAGCCAGCTCATCCGCAGCCTCCTTCGCAGCGGTGGCTGCAGCAGCGGTTTCCCTTCTTTTGGCTTCTTCATCCAGGATGCGCCGGCGAGCCGCTGCCCGTCGTGCGTCTCGCGCCTGCTCCTCTGCCCACTCCTCCGCCTCCCGCTCAGCAGAGGTCGCACGCCTGGCCCTTTCATCCTCCACCTCGCGAAGCTCCTCCTCCCGGTTCCGATCAGCCATCTCCTGCAGCCGCTCAGCCTTTTTGCTCGAAGAAGAGGAGGAGGCTTCAGAATCCGAGCTGGCACCTCCCCCAGCCTGTTCCTTGTTCTTCTCTTTGCCGGCCTCCTTCTTCTGCGCATAAAAAGAGTGTATTTGGCCCTGGGTCACCACGTAGACGACGTTGCGCCAGCTCACGTGAACCATGGTCTCACGCTTTAGGCGCTCGTTCACCATGTCCTCGAGGTGCAAGGAGTGGATCTGCACGATGATCTCGCCCACCTCCTCCTCGGTCGCGAGCTGTGCATGGTCGGTCGAATCGACCACAGTCAGAGCTGCTTCTCCAGGGTTGGCCTCGGGGTCCACCACAGTCAGAGCCTCTCCAATGTTGGCCTCGAGGACCGTCGCCTCAGCTGGTCCCGCAGCTGGTCCCGTCGCCTCAGCTGGCCGATCCTCCGGCTCCCGAGGCTCAGGCCGATCCTCGGGCCTATCCTCGCCAGCGCAGGTGAAGCGAAGCAAAAGGGCCAGTGGCACAGCATACATCCACGCGCGGAACAAAGCCATCGCCACCGGCTCCGGCTCCGTCTCCGTGACTCCTAAAAATATCGAGCGCTCCTTAGAGCTAGGCCTCGAGGCTACAAACCTTACCCAGGTTTTCCACACCCTCAATCATGTTGCTTGCGCTGCCTGACATGTGCTGGGAATGAGGTGTGCTGAAGTGGTTTGTGCTCCGTGTGCTAGGTGGAGTTCGAGCAAAACGGCGCGGCGCGGACATGTAGAGGGCTTGACGTAGGGTCAGGGGGGGCGACCCCCGGGGAGGGTTCGGGCTTAGAGCAGGGCACTCGAAGGGCACACCTACGCGGGAGCAAGGGGGCTGGGGCCTGAACACCCTGAAGGGGTGAGGGAGGAAACCCAAGGCTTGGGGCCTGAAATTCCCTGAAGAGAGTCGGGAGGAAACCGGGCAAGGGCAGGAAGCCAGCAGAGCACTTTAGAAAAAGCGTTACTGCAAAAACTCGAGCTCGCCTCTCGTGCCTCCCACCTCGGACCTCCCACCCACGCATCACAAAGGCCTTAAACCGGACCTCCCACCTCGGACCTCCCACTCGGACCTCCCACCCATGCAAGAAAAATAGGAAGGCTTCTCACAAAGCATAAAAATCGGCTTTGTCACAACGGCCACACCTCGGACCTCCCACCTCGGACCTCCCACCTCGGACCTCCCACCTGGGACCTCCCACCTGGGACCTCCCACCTGGAACCTCCCACCCATGCAAAAAAATAGGAAGGCGCCCCTCCGTAAGCCCCTCCCTTAAGGCTTCCCTTAAGCCCCTCCCTTGAGCTCCTCCCTTAAGCCCTTCCTCAAGCCCTTCCTTAAGCCCTCCCTTAAGCCCTCCCTTAAGCCCCCTCCCTGAAGCCCCTCCCTTAAGCCCTTCCCTTGAGCCCTTCCCTGAAGCCCCCTCCCTTAAGCCCTTCCCTTAAGCCCTTCTCCTGTCACAAAGCATAAAAAATCGGCAGCTTCACAACGGCCACACCTCGAACCTCCCACCTCGGACCTCCCACCTCGGACCTCCCACCTCGGACCTCCCACCTCGGGACCTCCCACCCATGCAAAAAAGATAGGAAGGCCTGTCACAAAGCATAAAAATCGGTAGCTTTGTCACAACGGCCACACCTCGGACCTCCCACCTCGGACCTCTCACCTCCCACCTCGGACCTCCCACCTCGGGACCTCCCACCTTGGACCTCCCACCTGGGACCTCCCACCTGGGACCCCCCACCCATGCAAAAAAAGATAGGAAGGCCTGACAAAGCATAAAAAATCGGCAGCTTTGTCACAACGGCCACACCTCGAACCTCCCACCTCGGACCTCCCACCTCGGACCTCCCACCTCGGGACCTCCCACCCATGCAAAAAAAATAGGAAGGCCTGTCACAAAGCATAAAAATCGGTAGCTTTATCACAACGGCCACACCTCGGACCTCCCACCTCGGACCTCCCACCTCGGGACCTCCCACCTGGGACCTCCCACCTGGGACCTCCCACCTGGAACCTCCCACCCATGCAAAAAAGATAGGAATGCTTGTCACAAAGCATAAAAATCGGTAGCTTTATCACAACGGCCACACCTCGGACCTCCCTCGGACCTCCCACCTGGGACCCCCCTCGGACAACCCCCACTTAAAAAAGTTACTCACCGGGTGAGTAACTTCCAATTTTAGCAAACGCGGCACTAATTCGGTTTGCGACAAAGTGCCGAAATTCGAGTGCTTAATCGGGTGCCACGGTTTGCGACAGGGTGCCAGACAGGTGCCGGACAGGTGCCAGACAGGTGCCAGACAGGTGCCAGACAGGTGCCAGACAGGTCGCGGCGGCAAATGAACACCTCTCTCTGAGGTGGGAGTGCCCAACTCCCGCCACAACACAGCTGAGAGGATCGAGAATCTACGTTTGAGGAAGGTTGCTCTAGGAGGTTTCGACGCCAAACTGCATCAGAGTGCAGTTTCAGGTCTCACAGTAGCATCGCTGCAGCCGTTTTAAGGCCAGAAAATTTGCGAGGGAGGAATCGCAACAGGATGCAGTTCTGAGGCTGCGGAGTTGTGGAGTGTAACAACGTGGAACTCCACAACTCCGCAGCCTCAGAACTGCATCCTGTTGCGATTCCGAGCAAATTTTCTGGCCTTAAAATCGGCTGCAGCGATGCTACTGTGAGACCTGAAACTGCACTCTGATGCAGTTTGGCGTCGAAACCTCCTAGAGCAACCTTCCTCAAACGTAGATTCTCGATCCTCTCAGCTGTGTTGTGGCGGGAGTTGGGCACTCCCAAAGTGCCTTCCGATTTTATCGACACCGACCTGGATTCCCCTTCAACTTATGACCGCCAGAGCAACAGCAACAGCAAGTTGGTGGAGCCATTGCAGCTCAGGCCACGCATCCAACATATGCCCCCCAGCAGGCGAGTCATTTACGGGCCTGGCTGAGCGTGAGATTTCGAGTGATTTCCAGCCTTGAGTTTTGGGTCATTTTCGTGCCGCGGTTCACAGCAACAGGCAGCAAGCAGCAGCAGCAGCAGCAGCAGCAGGCAGCAGCACGGCAGCACGCAACATAAGCAGTGACTAGCAGCGGCATGTAGCAGCACACAGCGGCACAGCAGCACTTTGGCATTTAGGCTACAGCAGTAGCGCATGGCGTAGTGGCACTTAGTACGTAGCACATAGCATCTTTAGGACTTGGGACATCCTTGGTCTCACGAGTCTCACGACATGGCAGAGGTCACAGCAGACGAACGTGAGGCACTGGCCCACATCGTGCAGAGGTGGCCTCGCGGGAAGCTGTTTGGTATTACAGTGTAATGAATTTGTTTTTCTATTGACTTTTGCAGTAAGACTATAGAGTGGCTCCCAGCACCCGCTTCCCTTCCCGATCTGCGCCCCTTCGAATTCCAGTTTCGCACCACTTGTTGCTGCTGGCTGCTCCCGGCACTAACGTGCAAATGTAAACAATAACAGGGCAACAATTCCTAGCAGGCAGTCTTCGGCAGGGATGTTGGGAAGGGACGTCAACATGCTCAGAGCCATGCTGCTGCGTATGGGGCGGCGTTTGAGCGAGGAGGAAAGCGTCGGCACTGGCATCGACAATCGCTGGGGTGAGGATGAGGGCACGGTCATTGTCCAGTTAGAGCAGGACATGACGCGTGAGACCTTTCTGCCGCCCAGGCGGCACTGTAAAATTTTTCCAGGTCATTGACGGTCATTGAACACTTTAGGCACCCTATTGGCTACCCTAGGCCCTTGTTTCGTGTTTGCGCCGCTTGTTATATGTTGAGGAAGGCCAAGCGGCAGCTGATGGATGCGGTGCAGAACATCACATTCGAAGATGTGTCGGATGATGCGGCAGCGGCCGCTGCCCGTGAGGCAGCTGCAGCATGGGTGGCAAAGAAGGCCAAGACCCGATGAAGCGGGAGCTCGTTTTTGGAAAAGTGTGGTGCTTGTGTTTCCCTGAACCTCCCTCTAAGCCGGGGTTTCCGAATCCCATTCAAGGCACCCGAACCCCAACCCCCATTAGGAGTGCCCTGCGAGTGCCCTGCAAGTGAGCGTGCGTTTATTGCGAGTCCCCTGACCCTAACCCTTTGCTCCCCGGAAGCTCCCGAACCCCGGCGGCCTTGCATCCCTGACCCGTTTCTACGCCGCGGCTCAGCAGCTAGGAGTGGTGGGGGCAGTTGGTAGCAGTGGCGGGAGTCATGAAACTTCACATCGCTAGCCCGGGCCTCAGTATACTCAACCACTTTGCCTCCCCCAGAACTTTGCGGTGCTTGCGCGTGGCCTGCGCCCTATGATCCTTGTAGGGTCAGCCCTGCAAGTGCTCTGCCCTGCGTCCGCAACCTTCCCCGTTCCAGGTCCAGGATGAGCTCTTCATCTGCATCTCTTCGTCGTGCCGAGCCGGACCCACAGTGCTCAGTGCTCCTCAACCCTTCCCCTCCTCAACCCGATGTCCCAGAACTGCAAACTTGGGGCCCTTAGTGGGGTGTTTTGCTCTGTGCAGAAGGGAGCGAAGCTGAATTGCAATTGCCATGTAATTGCCTGCTGCCTGTGATCAGTGATCATCCCCTTAGCTCTTCACGATGTGAGTAGCTTTGTTGCATTCTTTGGTCGCCCATTGTTTTGCCCAGGTCCTGTGTGAACAGCTGCGCTGACACTCACCACCTTGCGCAGCCTGCATGTCCGCTTCAGAACCTTGCCCAACATCGCACAGCTGGTTCTGTTTGCAGGGGTCGGGGCGGTTGTCATTCGTGGTGACTCCGGCACAATGGAGCTTCCCGTGTGGCTTGTCAGTTCATATCCAAAGGATGCTCGGCAGTCGAGGAAGCATCATGGAACAGCATCCCGGCGAAGGTTGCAGGCCCCCAATGTGCATCAGTATGCTGCCGTGCGAGACTTCCTCACCCGGTCTTTAAGTTCATGTGGTTATGATCTTGAAGCTGTGCTGCGTGATAAGGATTTAAATGGTCAAGTGTGGGGATGGGCCATTCTTGAAGTGCGTCCTGATGAAGTGGATTCCCTGCTTCAAGAGCGCTCCCTGCAAAGGCGAGTCCTGCTTGAGATCTATGATTACCAGCCTCTGTTGCATCTTCACATTAAAAAGGCTGTCCCATTAGCCCAACATGTGCAAGCAATTCATGTTGGGGATCTGTTGACTCCTCGGAGTCAGGCTTTTGCATTGCATCAGGTTTTTGCGGATGATTTGCTAACGAAGAGCATCCTGACTCCTTCTGCTGCAGGCAGAGATGAGACTCTTTCAGCTTTTTTGACGGCCAACCTTGCTGAATATGCAGCCCCACCTGCCACCACGACAGCTCTTCAGTTGTGGGGCCCCATTGCAATTCTCGCGGCATCTGGCCTTTGGACAGATGCTTCAATGCCGGCTGTGTCTAGCTGGAGCTCTCGGACACATGCTTTGCGAGATCCCGGCATTGCCAGGCTCTTGCAAGGAGCTCGTGAGGGGGCAATGCAGGCAGAGAGTGCCCCGGCCAGACCGTGTCAGGCTGCAGATCAGGAGGTTTTTGGGCCTGCAGCATTCCAGGATTTGGCTGGGCAGATTTGTTGTTGGGCTTCGATGCTTTTGCAGGGCCAGGCATTTGATCCCGAAGTTGAGAGGTTTAGGATGGAGATGGCAGTGCAAACGCTGGAAACCCAAGCGAGAATGCTGGACAGTGTGGCGACGGGCAGTGTTATGGAGCTGTTGCCACAGGGCGGTGTGAAACGCTTCAATATTGTGTTCTTGCTGCATGCTCTGTGGTTCGCGTTTGACTTGAAGAGTGATGGGTGCTTGCGGGAAGCATTGCTCAGATCCTGCAAGCTCTTGTTTCCAGGCACAAAGCACACTTTCTTAGAGCAGTGCCTGCAAGAAGAGTGGCTGCCACTGCCATCGCAGAGTGTTTTAGCTCAGGCGCGGTTTTACTTGGACATGGCTCTGATGCTTCGCATGCGTCAGAAACATGCTGAACAGTTTGATCCCGTGCAAACACTGCAGGCCGGGGCCGGGGGTGCCGGGGGTGCCATGTACATTCTGGCTGACAGCTCCCCGCAAGGACATACCAATTGGCTCATGTTACAGTATTTTCACATTCTGGAAAGTGACTTATGCAATGCTTTCGATGCAGCGGCTGATCTCACGGCTGCAGCTCTTCGCATTCGCAGATGCGAGGAAATGCAGATACCCACAGCTGAGGATGATCTAGAATCGGAGGCACGGCTCGCAGGTCTCTTGTCCAAGACAACCTATAAGCACCCCATGGTGCCTGTGGGTTTGGGTTCAGCGCGTGCAGATCTGTGGCATGAGCTGCATGCCATGTACCATTCCTTGTTTTTGGAATGCGGTTCCCCAGAACTGGTGGCCTCTGTTGCTAGAAGTGTCACAGCTGTAATTTCAGACCGTGGAACCGAGGCAGGCATACCACAGGCGCATCGTGTTCCCTTCCACTTTTTCTTTCCACACTTCCAGGCACCCTTAACAGTTGAGGCGGATGGGGATGCTGGTCTTCCTGAGGATGCTCAGCCAGATGGACCTGTTGCTGCCCAGGTGATCGGGCAGCAGCCCCCCCCAGGAGCAGAAGAGGAAGATCCGGGACTCAGCATGCAGCAAGCGCTCCCTGTTCCAGGCTGTTTGCATATCGTGCACAATGCAACACGCAACATGCTCCATGCAATGCCAAACTTTGAGGAGAAGGCAAAGAAACCTTTCACTGCTGTTGTGGAGGTCTTGCATAGTTCCTACACACGCCAGAGATTTGTTGCAACTTGTTTGGACGGTGAGGGGCGAGTCTACGCAGGCATGTTTGCAACTTTTCCTCACACCGTAGTGAAGTGGCGTTTCGGAACATTGGCCGCTGTTTGCAAAGACTTGTTGCCTTTGGAGGCCGTCCTGCGACGCTTCTGGGATCTGGGCAAAATGAGGTTCCTAGTTCCAGGGCAGGCCAACCGGCCTGAGAGGGCCGAGGAAAATGCTGGTGCAGCCTTTGGGGATGATCATCCTAGAGGTCCCAACTTGGAATTAGCTTCCGAGGCCATCAGGTCACATGTGTTCTGGGCTTGGGTGCGCATGGTCTCCGAATTGGCTGAGATCGTGAGCCACACGGAGAACTGGTTTCAGAGTTGCGTGTGTCACAATGCTGCGGAGAGTCAGAAGCGTTTGCTCCTGACACATGGTCAGAGTTGCCCTCTCAGATCACTCCGGGCCCCTGAGCTCGCTTCTGGAGCCTTCGAACCCTTCCTGCAGGAAATTTCTGCCCTCAGTGCTGCCGCTGTGACACTCATGCACTGCAGACATTGCGAGATAGCGGACAGAGCATGGATTCTCGCAGATTTTGAGGCCGGCCGTCAGCACCTGCTCTTTGCTTTCATCATGCAGACAGCATGCTGGTCGCATCTGCCACACAGGCTGTGTGGCATCGGCCATTCCAATGCAGATGTGGCTCGTACGCAGGCTGCTGCCTGCTTGCGGCTCTGGGCCACATATTCAGACGCCGAGAGGTCAGCCGCTCACCCGATGACCAAAGCAGTGCTGTCCAGGGGCACTCTGCTTGCAGGCCAACTGCGACAATTTGTGCAGGGAGTGAACTTGAGCAACTTGGAAGCCCTCAAAAAATTCGCAGCCCGCATGCGCTTCATCCCGCTGTGTGAGAAAAGCATTGAGGGCCGCCATGCATTTACACACAAGGTCCTGAAGAAGGCATCAAATGCTGGCCCGGTGTACATCAGCATGGCTGAGCGGATGCCACTTCTTGTCGAGTGGTCTAAAAGTGACCCCGAACTCTTGAAGTTTCTTGCTCAAGCTGCGCATGATGTTTTCCACCCTTTGCAAGCGGTTGTCACTTTGGGTCTTTCGAACCATCCGGATCTAGCATCTTTGATAGCTGACGTTCAGATGCCCACCTGGCGTGGGCTTTGCAGTGTTTGGGGGTCCACGCAAAAGCATGCCAAAACTTGTAAGAAGGTTGTTTATCACCTCGATATCGCATCTCAGTTCATGGATCTCAGTGGTGCTGCTGACTTCGATGAAGACAGCAAGAAGCCCAAAAAGAGAAGTGTGAACAGGGAGCAATTCACATTCGAGGAGCGTGCTGCTTTTCAGAAGCTGCTGGAGACTCACGAGACCAGCCGTGTCTACTCTGTGTCTGGTCTGGAGGCAGGGCGTGTGCAAGCTTTGACCCGCAGGATTCGTGATGTGCCACCAGACATACTTCCTGGTGAGAGCCATGACCATGAGGGTGAGGACGACGAAGTGCCATTCTTTTGTGAATTTGAGGGTGATGCGCACATGTTGTCAGCTGAATCGCAACCACACATGCCTGCCCATCATGAAAATGTAAACTGCCCTGATGACCTGACCGTCTTTCGTGTGGTCTCCCTGCGGCCTTCACGCATGAAGCTTCCGCCCATGGACAGGCAGCCGCAACTGGCATGGACCGACATTGCAGTGTCTATTTTGCCAGTCCTGGAATCCATGGGTCAAGGAGACAATCAGAGTCTGATTGTCTCAGCAAGTCCTTCGTTGCCAACACCAGATTCCGCGCTTGTGCTCTCCAGAGGTGGCTTTCAGAAAGTCGTAGTCTGGCGTACCTCATCAGGTTTGACCTGCTCCTGGAATGCAGGGCATGAAGCTCTGTTGCCAGAGGATTTGTCCCAGGAGGCCTTGCAGTGCACTGCCGAGGCACTTGTTCGAGTGAATGGGTTTCCAGGGTCTGCATCCGGCCTGTGCGCAGACGCTGCCTCTGAGGAGGCACAGCGCAGCCTCTTTCACTTGCAGAGCATGGGCTGGACAGCTCAGGCAGAAAGTGGTCTCTGGCAGCTGACACCTCAAGGGCTTCGGGCACTTCACATGTCCATGCGATTGGTAGATCCAGTGCCCTTGGTGAACTTGGAAGATTCCTGGCCCATACCTGAGCGATCCGAGTCCGCATTGCTCTTGCTGCTCAAGAATGCCGGATTCGACTTGTTTGAATGGACGCCCAACAGTCCCAAGCCACAGGACTACCCACTGGAGGCTCAGGATTTGCGTGTGGCCAAGCATTTGTTTGTCAGGCAGGGTCGTGTGACAGTAGGGCAGGCCTATCTTGCGTGTATGGCAGGAGCTTTCACAGCAGACAAAGACTTTCTGGAAGTTTGTGCTGGTCAAGACATTAAAACAATTCCACATGTGCAAACCGATGCTTTTTATGACAGACTTTTGAAAGGTGTGTTGAAATCATCAGATCAGCAAAACTTGATGTTCGAGCAAGATGGCTTTCCGGATGAAGCGGAAAGGAAGCCTCGCAAACGTGCGCATCGAGCGACAAAAGCAGTTCTGCCACCCGAATCCTTGGACATGCCCACAGCTCCCAAGAAGCCCCGGGCGAAGTTGTTGTTGCAGAGCCCCCGCAAAGCACCTGGCCGAGCGAGCGCTGCCGCCAGCTTCCGTGCAGATGCTCCAGGCAGCAGCACAGATGCTGCGCCAGCAAGAAATGCAGCTCCGGAGCATGAAGCCCCTTCTTCCAGCACAAGGCGGCCAGATCGTGAAGCTGCGCTTGCTTCATCTCACGTCCGTCGACAAAAGAACTTCAAGTTGCATGAAAGTTTCCGTTGGGGTGTGGTAAGTTTCAAATACAAGAAGCCTCCGAAGCCACCGAAGCCGAAGCCGAAGCGCTCGGGCCAGAAGAACCAGCACGGTCTAGACCTAGATTCTGGGCATGACTCGGATTTTGTGACATGGCCCTCCTATCAGGTGGATTGTCTCCGTTCAGATCATCACATCTATCGCGCCAATGGTTCCCGAACCACATGCTCCAAGACTCTGAGTTTTGATCCAGAAGATGAAGAAAGCAAGGATGAAGTTATTCGCAGGCTGAAGACATGGGTCATCGAAGGTCTTGACTTGAACACTAGGGAAGAGCACCGGGTGAAGGGGCGCTGTCTAGGAGACCGTCCGTTGGACGAACTTATGAAGGATCCTGAGTTGCAAGCACGCAAGCCGCTGGAGTTCCCAAATGTTGGCAGGTTGGCGGCTTCCAGCGAGGTTCATGCTGCTGCCCCAAAAGCCAAAGCTGATGCAAAACCCAAAGGGAGTGCCAAGGCCAAGGCCAAGATCTCAGCCAAGGGCAAGGCAAAAGGCAAGGCAAAGGCCAAAACTCACAGCCGGCGACGAAAGCCAGCCGAGGCAGCTGAGTCTGATGAGTATGGCAGTGATGCTGAAAGCAATCCTTTGGCTGGTGCAGGCGTTGCATTGTCTGATCTAGACGTCAGTAGCTTGACATCAAGCAGCGACAGTGACAGCAGCAGCTCGTCTGGGAGCACTGTGCAGGACGAGGCATGATCATGTTGCACTGCTGTGATGTGCTTTTGCGCCTGCGTGTCACACATCAGTCATGCACTCACAGACACGGCAAGAGTTGGCGTGTTCATGACAAAAACAGCTGCCTGCTTCGAAGTAAGCTCTTGGATAGCTGTCTGTGAGCACAACCTTTTGCCTTTAGCTGTGCACACTGAAACGCTGAAACGCTGAAACGCTGAAACGCTGAAACGCTGAAGCCGCCCGGCCCGGCCCGGCCCGGCCCGGCCCGGCCCAGAGATCATGATTTTTTTTTGTTTTTTGTTGGATTTGTTAAATTGGTTCTCGACTCTTACAAAAGGTCTTCCCCAATGGCCCGATTAGGCTCAGGATTGCTTCACGAAAGTGGTTTTGGCTGTCACGAAAGTGCCCGGCTGCCTCACGAAAGCGCCTGGCTGCCTCACGAAAGTGACGGTCGGCTCACGAAAGTGTTTGGCTCCCTCACGAAAGTTTTCGGCCCCTGCACGAAAGCTCACGAAAGTTTTTGTCCTCACGAAAGCACGGGGGGCCCTTCACGAAAGTGTTTTGTCCCGTGCACGAAAGTGCACGAAAGTACCGCCACGAAAGCTCACGAAAGTTTTTTTGTCTTCACGAAAGCAAAGTGGCCCTTCACGAAAGTGTTTGCCGCCCGCACGAAAGCTCACGAAAGCTCACGAAAGTGTCCGGTCACCACGAAGGTTCACGAAGGCTCACGAAAGCGAACCTGGCCACCCAAGCCCTGCCGCTCGCCTCAGCTGAGTCCAGCTGCGAAACAACCAAGAAAATCAAAAGCTTAAGCCGTTCTGGGCCATTCTGGGCCGGGCCGGGCCGGAGTGCGCCGTAACGCAAAACTACAGCGTTCAAGGCCCCTGAACTCCTGAACCACCCTCAATGGACCCTCAAAGTCAGAGTTTCAAATCCTGAAGCCCTCACATCATTTCCTTTTGCAACACTCAAGAGATATCGATCGATTCCCTGATTCCCTTAACAAGGCACAGGGCGCTAGAGGAATGGTTGAAATTACAGAAGAATACATATAGCAATAAATATCTATTCATATATATGTGTGTATACACTTATCTATATATATATGTATACACCTCTATATATATATATATATGTATCTGTAAATGCATATCTTTATATATATATATACATAAACATATATATATATATACATATAGTTGCCTTTACAGGGAATGAGACTAGACACATTGTCGGAGATTACAGACAAAGGAAGAGGGAAGACATGAAGGGCAGGGAACATCAAGACAGGTCGCACATCAAGACAGGTCGCACAGAACACAGATCTTTCCAGACGCCTGTGAGTATGTGTTGAGCCACGCGCTAGCCTAAACATGTGGCGTAGCAATGCTGAATGCTGTCATGCTGTCTGCTGCCTCCAGCAACCTGTGTAAGATTGTAAGATGTTTAATTCACATGGGATATCCCAGAGAAGAGTCCGGAGAGGTTGTTTGCTTTGTTCTGTTCAGCGTTTCTGTCTCCATTTGCGCAGCTCTCTCTTTTGTGCCCGTATATCACCCTTTATCTCTGTATCTTTTCTCTTTCTTTTTCTTTACTTTCACTTGCTCTTTCAATTTTTCTTTACATTCTCATTCTTTCTCTGTCACTGTATCTCTCCGTCCTGGTCTGTGTCCTCTCTCCTCTGTCTATCCTTCCATTCTTGCGCAGTCCATGTCTCCACATGCCTGGGGCAGTGAGAATATGTGCAACACTGGTCTCGGCAGCTCGCGTGCTAGAGGGTGGCCACGTAGCAAGACTGGACACTTGACACTTACAGCTTGTCACATGCTCAGGGCCTAGGGCACATAGTGTCATATCCTCAGCCTCGAGGCTCCCTCACAGACTCGCTGCCAGCCATGAAGCGTGCCAGATCAACCGTTTTTGGTTGTGATGATGCCAGTGAGACCGATGCTGGTGATACCAGCAATGCGCCTGCTGCCCCTTTGCTGGCTTCTGCTTCCAGCAATGCAACTGCCGACGCACCTGCTACCCCTTTCCTTGATTCTGCTTCCGGCAAGGCAACTGCCGATGCATTTGCTGCCCCTTTCATTGCTTCAGCTTCCAGCAATGCAACTGCCGATGCAGCCGAGGCACCTGCTGCCCCTTTCACTGCTTCTTCCACTTCCGGCAGCACAGCTGCCGCCGATGCACCCGCTGGCCCTTTCATTGCTTCCGATTCCGGCAGTGAAACTGCCACAACAACTGGCGGCATGCTTCCTGGGCCTAGGACAATCACAGAGGCCTTCCAGTGGCATCATGATGTGCTAAGGTCAGTGGTCAGCTCAGAGGAAAGGAAGGGCACGCTTCTGAAGAACCTGCAGAAGCCATGGTGTGTTTCCTCAGATTACTCCGGCATGCGGACAGAGGAAACAGCTTGTGCTGCACTGCAGAGTGCTGTGATGTCTGCGCTGCAAGTCAACTTCAACCCGAAGTTCCAGAGCTGGTGCGACAATGACGGCTACTGTTCCGCTGTGATGCTGGGATCCGACGACAGCAGGAAGCCAGAGCACGCATTCATGTCTTTGAACAGCTACCTGAAGCCTGACGTACAGACCTTGCTGGACAACATGGAGGCACAGGCTCCGGCGCCTCACCCGAATGCCGACAGGCAAGCGAAGCAGAATGCAAACACGAAGCGCATGAGAATGTATGATCTCATGGGGCAGTACTTGTTGAGCAAGGCAGCTTCAGAGTTCGTGGACACGTCAGCTTTCTGCTGCTTGCACTTCCAGCAGTGCCCGATCACGACTGGTGCGTGCGAGATCCTGGTGGCTGGCTTAACCTGTGTGGCATTCTCCAGCATGGGGAAGATGGAGGGGCTGGCGCACCCTTCGTCACGTGACCTGCTGACCTTCGCTGTCGGCGCTCGGCACAGGCGACCAATCTTTTTGGTACTGGAGTCCGCCGCATCATACCCAAAAGAAAAGATTTCAGAGCTTCTTGAAGACTTGTACCATCTGGAGTTCATCAGTCACCCTGGTCCCGTATTGCATGGGTGGCCGATTTCCAGGCCGAGAATGTACTGCATGGGCTTTCTGCGTGACAAAGTGACTTTCACAGGCAGCGCGGAAGAGTATCTCAGCCTCTGCACCCGTAGCGTGAGCATGACCGCAGATGATTTTTTCTTCTTGCCGGCAGATGAGCAAGATTGTTTGCGTGAGTTTTGTGAGTTGTGCCGCAAGCGATGCATGCAGTTCTCTGAGAGAGCCGCCGCAGAGCCCTGGAATCAGCATTACTCTGCTTTCCAGCAGACAGTCCTCAGGGAGTATGAGACTCTTGCGGAGGAGGCGAAGCAGAAGGCCCAGGAAAGCAAGCAGAGGAATGATGCCGATGCAGCCGCTTCTCAGGCACCATTTGCACATGCCACTCACGCCGACATGGTGGCCCTCGCCAAACAAGATGCCCTGGCCAGCGGCGTCTTTGTTGCAGACTTGGATCATCATTCCATGTATGGCATGTCCGGCTCACACATCCCCTGCCTCATCCGCCACGGCACCTTGTTTTCCATGCGGAAAAAGCGGCACATGTGCTTGACAGAGTTGATGGCGTGCCAGGGCTTTCCTGTTTGCCCACTGTTGGAGGCTGATTACAGGCCAGGTTTTGCAAGCATGGTGCAGGCCACAGTCAGGGAGGATCCCAGGTGCATGTCTGCCACACAGTGGCGTAAGATGTTGGGGAATGGAATGTTCGTCCCGGCATTGGCGTCCATCATGCTGTACGGCTTGTCTTGCATGGCTGATGTGCCAGCCAAAATGCTGCGGATGACCAGCGTCAGCAGCTTTGTGACAGGTCGCTCCAGCCAAGAGCTCGAGGACGACGACGACGACAGCCAAAACCAAGGCCAAAGCTTGATGTTCCAGGGTGATGAACTTGCAGGCTTGGGGCACTCGGCCTGTGAGCACGCCTCCTCCAGTTCCAGCCTTGCCCAGCCGGAGGAGCGACGGGCAACGGCAAAGTCAAAGGCGAGGCCAAAGATATTGCGAGTTGCTCGGGCCAGCAAGTCCGAGGTTTTGTTTTGAGTGCAGAAGACAGGCTGAGTGTGCTATAGCTCGTGCTGCTGTGGTGGCAACAGGCTTCAGCCACGAATCCAGTGATATGGTCAGGCATATGCTTTGACAAGAGTCGACCCGGGTCGACCCGATGATTGCTCGTTTTGAGATTCTCTGTATCACGTAGAGCAGTTGTCTTTCGGAAGGAAAAAAAATGGTCCTGGATGAACAAGCTCCAGGAATACTCAAAAAAAACCAGGACCATTTTTTTGATATAGCAGTACTACGGAGTTCTTGTTGCTGCCCTGGGCATTCAAGATTCATTCCCAAGTAGTGCAGAAACGCCAATAGCGCAGTAACACATGCCAACTTGCGTTTGAATTTCAAGTATCAAGAATTTTGCAGTTCCAGCGAGATGGCATCTTCGAAAGTTGCTCAAAATCGCATCGTGCAAAAAAGCATCACTCAGATTCATAAGCATGAGGCATGAGTGATGATGATTTGTGCTATGCTTTAGCCTGTGTAGTGCAGCAGTGCAGTTAGCAGACTTGCAGCTTCTGACTTGTGCTTGCACTGGCTTGCATGATGCCATGCAGAGGTGCTTGGCCTCTTTAGCTTGACATGTTCTTGCCACTCCGCCGCTTCTTCTGCTTGGTTCAGATTTTGGGGTTCGGGTCGGGCCGCCGACCGCCGAGTCGGGCCTTCTGTACATGCATGTGGCCTGGAAATGAACATTTCGGATTCTAGCGATAAACGTTGACCATTTACCATGTTGCAGGTCATGTGAATCACATGCATCACATGAAGGCACTGTGTAGGATTGTAGGCGTCATCCGCTCATTCCGACTCAGAGCTTGTCCTCCCTGGTCCTCCCTCAGCCCTCAAGGCATCTGCGACTGGCATCGTGTGACTGCTCACTGCTCTGAGCTCTGCTCTGCTACTGCTGCAGCGTCCCAATTCCTGTGGTGAGGAAACTTGTCAGCCACAGGTAGGTTCCCGAGGGGAGGCAAGGCCGAGGTCACAGGTGGTTTTGTGCCGATTTTTCAGTCCTAGTCCCACCGTCGAGAACTCCTGTCCTGCACAAGATGGACAACTCGGTATCAGGCGAGGCGTCCCAACCCACAGCAGGCGAAAGTGGCACAGGCAACCCAGACCGCCTGGACCCCGCAAGTTCAGCAGACAGCATGATGCCAGAGAACGCCGCACGCACAAACAGCCGGGCTGCACATGGGAGAGAAACACAGCGAACATGCACAACCTGCCTCCAGATGCCAAGTTTGCCCCGCAGAGATGCATGTCGTTCTTGCCACAAGATTGCACAGTCCTTCAGACACCATCGTGAACGGGCAATGAGAGAAGCTGAGCGTCACCCAGAGTCAGAGGAGTTTGCAGACATGCAGGACATGTATCAGAGCACACTGGAGAACCCAGACACGTTCCTTGCCATGTATGCTCAGTTTGGTTCTGCAGAGCATGCAACCCAGCGGCCCAGACAGGCATTCCGGCTTAGCAGTCTGCTTCAGCTTACCAATGCAGCCGATGCAGCGGGCGGGGGCGGGGGTGGGAACACAGATGCCACGACTGTGCTTCAGCTTACCACGCGTGAGCCAGAGCAGAGCTGACAATTTCATTGTGGAAATTGCAGCACAGCACCGAGTCGCACCGAGCCATAGCCATGTGCCCTGTATGAGAGTCGTTGGTTGTGCCATCCTGCGATTCCTCCCAGAGTATGAACCAAGTTGCAATTGCCATCTTTGCAAATTGATTGCGAGCATTCCGTGTTTGACTGTGATTGCGCAGCCTGCGTTAAAAGCTTTCACATGACACTGGGAAGTTGCAGTTGCAGCCTTTGCAGCTTGCGACATGCCAGTGTTGCGAGTTTGGACGTGATTTTGCAGCTTTGCAAGTCTGCATTTTTGTTACAGTCAGAACCAGGTCGCAGGCCAGGCAGTGCCAAGTAGCCAGCGGCCAGCTTCACTGTTCCATATCGTTGTCTGATTCTTCACATCGTTGAGAGTCCTTTCTAAGGCAGTGAAGCACGAGTCGGAGGTCACAGTTTTGTTTCGCATAAGGACTGACGCCTTGCAATCAGCAACAGGCCTCACAGCTGGACGTGAAAGCCAAAAGGTGGGTAGTGCTGCGCCAGACACTGATCGAAGCTTCCCTAACAGCCGCACAGTGAGCAGCCTATACATACGGAAGTAGCTTTCGCTGAATTGTAGCAGTAGCAGCCTACCTGGGTGAACTGGGTAAGTAGCTTTCGGCCGAATTGTCGGTAACATGCGGTTATATAGTGTGTGCAGTGGAAATGCGGACCTGAACCCCTGTGTAAGTTTAAATGTGTTTGAGTGCCATCGTGCCATTCGATGTCTTTTGTTGGAGCCGCTGACTTTCGAGACTTCAGATCACTTGTGTGCTCTGAGCCCGGCTGTGGTGAGCACTAGGGCACTAGGGCAATGGCGGAGCTCATCTTTGATGAGGACCAGGCTGACTTCATGGGTTCGGCCACTAAGGAGTCCACCAGTGCCGAGTCAGGGCAGTGTGATCTCAGCAGCTTGCCGCAGTTGAGCGCAGCTGATGAGAAGAAGCGCAAGACCATCAATCCAGATCGCTTGTGCTGCATTTGTCAAGAAGCCCAAGCGCTGCCGAAGTTCACTTTCTGCCGTGATTGCAAGAAGGACGTTCAGTCCTGTGCCAACTGTGCAAAGAAGGAGAATAGGCTGAAGGATTGGAATCGCTTGACAAAGACCACTGAGGGCCTGCGTCATGTGGTTTTGCACTACAAGCGAAATTGCCCTTCCAAAGGCCAAGGCGTGAAGCGAGATGCCATGGACTGGACCCAGTACCTCACCAGCACGTACACCAACAAGGCCACGAAGACCGGAGTTCGAGATGTCTACATGGATTGGCCGCAGTACGAGAAGTGGGCCTTCGAGAACAAGAGCCTGTCTTCTGGTGAAGCCCTGGAGCAGTGGGAGTCGTTTGAGCGCAACGGCACAGACCATGACTTTGGCGGCCGGTCGGGGTTCGAGAAGCGCTTTGCCGTTGCAGCTGAAACTTACAGACTGCGTGAGACGGAGGTGGGCAGCCGAGAGGACAGGGTTTGAAATTTGACAGCTGTGACGATTACATGTGGACTCATGAATGTTCAGTTCCATGGCCCGCGTGCGCATTGTTCAGTGACTTGCGTTGCAGAGGCAGATATTGCAGTTTGCAGTCTGCAGACTGGCATTACACGAGCCATGAGCTGTCTTGCAGAAGGAAAGAGAAATAGTGAGTGAGAGAGAGAGAGAGAGAGAGAGAGAGAGAGAGAGAGAGAGAGAGACTTGGGACTTGGGACCTGGTCAGGATAAAATTGATGGTTTGCACATTTTACATTTTGTTTTGACTGCGAACGTTTCATGACGTGTTCACAGACGTAATAGGGTGGTCCAATGGAAAATTCGTGCTGACCAACGTGCAAACATTACCCACTTACCCACGTTGGTTTTGAGATGAAATAAATGAAGGGCGCTTAAGCCTCTGAGCAGAGCTCTTGACTTACACTCTGGGATGAGCAGCGTGTTTGGGCTTGAACCTGAGTTTTGATGCCAAGGAAGGCTCCAGGGTATAGCCCGAAACTGCATGGAAACAGAAACAGAAAGAGAATGAGCAAGAAACAGACAGGGAGAAAGAAAAGACAGAGAGAGAGAGAGAGAGAGAGAGAGAGAGAGAGAGAGAGAGAGAGCGAGAGAGAGAGAGAGAGAGAGAGAGAGAGAGAGAGAGAGAGAGAGAGAGAGAGAGAGAGAGAGAGACAGAGAGAGAGACTTTTCAGTTGAAATTCTGCCGGTTATGGGACATGATCCATGGCATGCGAAAGGAGATGCTGTCTGGTGGGAAGCAGCAGAAGGGCAAGGCCCAGGAGAGCCTGCAGCAGAGCGTGGGGCAGATGTTGCGACGTGCCCAGGATACGCAGCATGGCTTCCAAGACAAGGTGACTGCTTTCCTTGACAAAGCAGCAGTGAGTGCAGCAGAAGAGTCGTCCCCTGAAAAGCTGCGAGATGGCGATGATGCACGGTCCGTGTTCGGGGACGGCTCGGTTGCTGGCTCTGAGAAGAACCAGTTGAAGGGTCTGGCTGCCGAAGACCTGCTTGGCGAGATGGAGAGTGCCCCGAAGAGCAATGGCAAAGGCGGTGGCAGGAGGGTCAAGGACATCGCCCGGCTTCGGGCAACTGCGTACGAGAAGCAGAAGAAGGTGCTGAGCACTCTGGGCACCGACGCAATCAGCCAGATTGAAGCCGCGGACAAGCTGGTTAATGACAACCAGGCCTCGAAGACGGAGTACGAGCACTTCTTTGACATCATCAAGGTGCGAAAGGACCTGTTGCAGCAGCTGGCAGGCAAGGACACCACACAGGCGGCGTACGAGTCCTATGTGCAGGGATTGGACGACAAGAGCCTTGCCTTGCAGCCTCTTGCAAAGGCCGTTCTGCTGAAGACACAGGCCTTGCCCGGATGCAACGACCTCTGCCAGTCGGTGCTGGTGCAGACCGAGAAGGGCGAGTTGGACAACTGTTGTAAGGACTTGACGGATCACGTTGCCGTCCACAACCAGGTCCGAAATGCCCTGAAAACCAGCTGCAAGGACTTGGACTCCACCGTCAAGCAGGCCCTGCGGCGGCAGAAAAAGGAGAAAGAAAAGGCGGACAAGCAGAAAGCGAGTGACGAGAAGAAGAACACAGAGGACAAGCAAGCCTTGGCGGAGAAGCTGAAGGCAGACAAGGACAAAGGCGCACCAGCAAAATGATAGCAGCCTTTTTTTTTTTGGTTTTATGATTGTCCCTTAGAATCTTAGGTCGAGTGTCAATTGTCCCTTTTACCCGTGAGATGTTGTTGTCTATGAAGCTTCGCTCAGGTGTGTACTCCACCCTTCTGCAAGCCCCAGCCAACCTTCTCACTGAGCTTGGAATGAGCAGCGTGGCAACATACCCCGATGTTGCTGCAGTGAAGACTTCCATCATCAAGAGCGAGGCTCCCTTCATCATCACCTCTTTCAGTGAAGTGAAGGCATTCATCGATCAAAGGCCTGCGCTGAAGTGCTTGATCACCAACTTCAGCCATCAGTTCCCGGGAACTGCCATGTGCTCGAGAACTGGAAGAGCCCAGTCCCCAGTGAAAACTGCGAAGGGCGACAACATTGCAGAGGATCTGCAAGCCTTGCTTGGTGGGGTTGTTCCTCTCCTCGAGACAAGTGTTCCGGAGAAGTTGCAGTCCGTCACACACGCTGCCCTGTATGGCTTTACGAGTGACATGGTCTACTATGGCTTCGAGGAGAGAGGCCTGCCACAGTTGCGCTACATCTGCCATGGCTCGCGGCAAGTCTTCATGATCCACGTGCAGGATTTCCTTGCGACCATCTCCAAAACAGACAAGGCAGACCTCCGTGAAGTGCTGCAGCTGTGGAAGGTGATGGATATCTTTCGGTGGAAGCAGATCGAAGGGGGCTTGCCTGTGCTCCACACCTGCATCCAGAAGCCCGGCTCCTTGATGTACATCCCGCCAGGGTTTTTGATCGCCGAGAAAGTGCTCAACAGTGAGAAGGTGGTGGGGATCAGAATGAGCTTGATCCCTCGCTGCTCGAAGAATGCGGCCCAGTTGGACAAATTCAGAAACCTGCTCCCTGCAGAGCATCCGTACCTTGAGATGACAGAGCTTGCTGTTAACAGCATGCGCGAGTCATGAGAATCTAGAGTGGAGGCTGTCAGTCTTCGTAAGGATCGAATGCTTAGCAACCAAGGCGGTAGCAAAGGCGGTAGCAAAGGTGACATGCAGGGATCAAGGAAGTGAACCCAAAACCCTAAACCTTGAACCCTAAAGACTAAATCCTAAACCCTGATCCCTAAGCCCCCAAACCCGAAACAGCTAAACTTTTGAATGTGCCCGGGCCTGGAGATCATTCAGATCCCAGATCATGGTTTTCAGGATATGAGAGCTGCGTTGCGGCGTGCTGCGATTCTCGTGATTCTCATGTCACGTGTATCTCATTCTGGTTTTGTGTCGGCTTGGAAACCTAGCCTGACAGAGCCTGACCATTTTGCGTTTCGCTTCACATGAGCAGCGTGCTCCACGTGAGATCATGGATGGATGGGCGTGTTAAAGACGTACAATTTTGTGCATTCTGCTTCACACGCACACAGCCTGCTCCATGTGATCATGGATGATCGTGCCAGATCCTCTTCGGCTTTGATTCTGAGGGAATCTTCAAACCTTCGAAGTCCGAAGTGGTTTTGCCAGCTGGTGCTCAGTCACGTGACCAGTGTCAATAGCGCTATGTGAGGTATGTGAGTGAGTGATGTGGCCCAGGGGCCCATTACAGCAGGTTTATATATGATTTGGGTCTCTGGGGATGGTCTGGAACTAAAGCACACTTCCTAAGATGTATATTCGCACTTAAACGCAGTGCGTGTAAGGTTGCTAGTTGGTAGGCGCTGTGCTGTGTTGAAAACTTTCGTCGCGTAGACCTCCAAGCCTTAAGGTGAAACCCTAGGCGCTGTGCTGTGTTGAAAAGTTTCATCGCGTAGACCTCCAAGCCTTAAGGTGAAAACCCTAGGCACTGTGTTGTGTTGAAAAGTTTCGTCATGTAGACTTCCAAGCCTGAAGCCGAAAAACCCTAGTCGCTGTGCTGTGTTCAGGAGTTTTAACGTGTAGACGTGTAGACTTCCAAGATTCCAAGCCTTGAGCCGAAAACCCTAGTCACCTAGTCGCTGTGCCGCTGTGCTGTGTTCAAAAGTTTCATCGTGTAGACTTCCAAGCCTTAAGCGAAAACCCTAGTCGCTGTGCTGCTGTGCTGTGTTCAGGAGTTTTATCGGGTAGACGTGTAGACTTGCAAGCCTTAAGCCGAAAACCCTAGTCGCTGTGCTGTGTTCAAAAGTTTCATCGTGTAGACTTCCAAGCCTTAAGAAGCTGAAAACCCTGGTTGCTGTGCTGTGTTCAAGAGTTTCATCGTGTAGACTTCCAGGCCTTAAGCCGAAAACCCTGGTCGCTGTGCTGTGTTCACAAGTTTCATCGTGTGGACCCCCTAAGGTTTAGGGTTTAGGCTTTAGGGTTTAGGGTTTAGGGCTTAGGGCCCCCAAGCCCGCAGCCGCAGCCGCTGAAAACCCTAAACCCCAAAGTACTGTCGAGCAAGAAGAAGAAACTCCCATGCTTGCCAGGAAGCCCTTCGCCGGAATCCCCTAAACCCTAAATTCCTTGAAAGCAAAGTCTGAACACCGTGCTGAGCCTCCGATCCTCACATGCTGGGGAAGCATCCGAATTAGAAGTCTGAAGTCCAAACTTGTGAAGCTGCTTCTCAGTCCGGGCAAGCATTGCAGCATGGCCACAGACGGGGATACTTTTCAGGGCTAGGCAGCGGCAGCTAGACCATCCCCAGCCCATTGTTAGACAAAAGTGAATGGAGCTGAGAATGACCATAGATGGAATACAAGTAATTCAAGTACTACAAGTACAAGTGTACAAGCACTGCTTTACTGCTAGCTGTGGCGGTTCTGAGAATGACCATGGCAGCAACAAAAAATTGAATACCAGCCTACAAGCGCTGCTAGGCTGCTACTGCTAGCTGTGGTGGTTCTGTTTGCAAGCTTGCCTTTTGCGGAGCTCATGAGCTTTGAGCGCTGAGCACATGTCGGGCCATTTGAGAAAAAGCTCTGCTTGAAAAGCAGAAGGGGGATCCTGGCAGGGCTCGGCATCATCGCGTCATGTTGCGGGAGCTGAGGATGGAGAAGCAGCAAGCTCGCAGACAACATCGAGATTCTGGGGCAACGTGAAGAAAAACAAGAATGATTCGCGTTGAATTGTCATTCTGTTTACAATGCTGTTTCATGATTTCATGTTTTGCTAAGCTTCAAGCTTCGCTTCCCTCAGCTTCGTTGTCATGAACCGTTTTCTGAATTCATTTTTCAAACAGACCTCACACATGTTTGATAAGTCCTTATTTCATGATTTGCTACAGCTTGCCAGCTTGGGCTCGTCTAGCATGTCATTAAAAAAAAGGAGATATATACATATATATATATATTGCTCTAGCGTGTCATTAAAAAATAAAAAGCAAGATATATATATATATATATATCTTGAAAGAAGCATGGATGGAATTCTTCACGGAACCGACGGAGCCCGTTTTGAAAAGAAGCAGTAAATGACTTTTCAGATTTTGCTTTGGAGCCCACAGTTCTTTCCTGAGACATCTGGTTTTAAAATAAAGTTTTCTGAGCGATCAGGATATGATGTGATTGAATGGGAATGGGGAGTGAGATGTTTAGGTTCATGGGGCCTTCCCCAACCACCTTCGTGGAGTCCCTTATGTGCACAGTGACATGTTTGGGCCCATAGCTTCCAAAACCACCTTTGTGGGAGTTGCCGTGGCCCAGTTGATCTTGCTGGCTGCTCAGTCTGATGTGGCCTTGAAAACAGTATCTAGGGTCATACGTCTCTGGATTGTTTGCAGCTCGCCAGAGCAGCACACGCTGGTGGTGGGCCTTGGCGTGTTTGGCGCCATGGCTTCCAAAACCACCGTTTTGGAGTCCATTTTACGTTGCCATGGGTGTTGATGTTTCTGACTTGTTCGCTGGTCTGAGGCGGTCCGCCAGTAAATTATACCATCTGCGAGAGACTTGCCAAACACAGCGTGGAGTGAAAAAGAGCTTTGCGTTTTTCACATGGTAGCAGATCGTCTGAGGACGTTCCAGTAGAGACCATGGCCGCCCAAGCTCCGGACCCTTCTCAGGTGCCGGTACCGGACGTGAGTCCTGAAGAATGGTCAAGCAGGCCCGACAACTTCGCGACCTCAGGAAGCACCGAACCCCTTTGAGTCCCCTCCGGCAACTCCTGCTCAAGCGCAGGCTTCACCAGCGGGCAGTCAGGCAGGGGGAACTTTGCCCACAGCCAGCGGTGGAGGAGCCGAGACTGGGTTTCAAGCCATCGTGTTGGAAATGCTACGTCAGCAGAACCAGTCTACACTTGAGCTCTTGCGTCAGCAAGGGCAGGCTACTCAACAGAACCAGCAGTTGATAGCTGCTCTCATGAGACGCATGGACTTAGAAGAGAAACGCCGAAACGAGGCAGAAGAGAAGGCCGCTGAGACTGCTAAGTTGGTTGCTGAAGCTGCAGCTAAAGCCAAGACTGCAGACCCGTTTTCTGGACCTGGTGCCACAGCAGCGACGGGGTCGTCTTCGTCTACTTCTTTTAGTGGTGGGTCCACTCTTCAGAACCGAGCGGAGAAGTACCTGCCGCCTTTGCCATTGCTGGAGCATCAAGGCATGAGCAAAGGACGCATGCGAGAAGTGGAAACGTGGCATGGCTATGTGGAGACTTTGAGCTCGTGGTTGGCTTTGCAAGACGAGTCTTTCGTTCGGGAGCTTCAGCTGTGTGTGAAGGTGAAACACGAGATACTCCAGAAGGATCTCAGTGTGGAAGTTGCAGCGCGGAGCGCTAAGCTGTTTTACTACCTGACCCAAGCCCTGGCAAAGTGGGAAAGGGGTCTGGAGTTGCTACGCTCTTGCTCGAAGCGACAGGCTTTGAGTGCCTGTGGGTACGAGGCCATGCGCACCATCACACAGCAGTACAGCATAGTATCCCGCATGGAAGCCGTCTTCGTACGTGACCAGTGTTTGAAGTTGCAGCACACGTGCCAACATATTCGGCGACCTACTGACCTCATTAGGCACCTTGAAGATGAGTTTTCTCGGTCTGAGGCAAAGCTGTCGAATTTCCCTGAACTTCTTCTGTCCGAGGCTGATCGGTGCAGTATCCTTTTGCAAGCGGTGAATACCGAGCTTCGTCAATACGTTGTCTTGCATGGGAAGAGCAACGACTGGAACTCATTGTGCAGCAGTCTGAAGTACTACGAAGAACAGCTTCGACTATGTGAGGCTCCAGGTGGAACGTCTCGATCCCTCAGTGACACTTTGTGTGATTACTGCGGGAAACGGGGACACCAAGCCGAGAAATGCTGGCAGAAGCAAAGGGATGAGAAGGCCCGTGGTGGTGGAATTCCGGACAAAGGCAAGGGCGACCATGGAAAGGATCGAAAGAAGCCTAAAGACAAAGGAAAAGGGGACCGAAATCCCAAAGGTGGGGGAACTCCCAAAGGTGGAGGAACGCCGCGGGGAGGTGGAACTCCTCGGAGCGAGCACGGGGACAAGAGCCCCAAAGGGCGCGGAAAGGGCAAGGAGAAGTCGAAGAAGAAGAAAGGAAAAGGGAAAGGCCGTTACTTGGGTGAGCCCGAATCGGAAGCAGACTCTGGGGAAGCCACTTTGATGGCTTTGGGTTTTTCTGGAGTGCGGGAAGCTTCGGCCGAACCTTCTCTTCCTCCTCGTGTTCTGAACGCGCCTGAAGAGGTGAAGCCGGTAGGCACCGTAGTTGGAGATTCAATGGGGGCCTTAGGCTCGAAGTTTTCTCAAAGAGGAAACCTCTCTCAGATGTGCTCGCACCTAGGGGTTAGCCCGAGGGATGTTTGGTTGGTTGATAGTGGGGCTACGTGCCACATAGTTTCCAACCAGTTTATCTCAGGATTTCGTGTGGTGAAGACACACGACAAGGCAGCCAGTCTGTTCAACGCCTCTGGAGGTTCGATCGACGTTTCGTCTGTGGTCGATATCGAAGTCTACTTCGGTGATGTTCTTCTGAGACTCGGGGAGGTGTTGGTGGCTGATGTCGGGTTTAACGTCCTCTCTCCATGGTGTGGG